TACTTGGGTCACTACTATGTTTCTACATGTGACACCAGTACTGGTTGGTTACAGGAAGCGGACTCGAAAGTGATTAATATAAGCAATTGAGCTTAAAATAAATATGTTTAAACCAATTAATTGAATCATAAATTTACAACATGTATAATAACAGTGTATCTTACTTGTGTTCTACCATCAGCAGTGCTTTATTGTTTGATATATAAGTGGTGTCTGAGGCAGCAGTTAACTCCCCTTCTCCTATATTCCCATTATTTAAAATTCTGTTAACTTCTCGTATACTTGCATCAATTTCATCTTCACCCTGGAAAAAAAAAATTTTATGTATCATTAATGAATTACGACAGGTGTCTTTTATAAAGAGATGCATGTTTTTCTATCCAGGTACTTTTTTTTCATAAAGGTATTATCTTTTATTATAACTCTTTTGTTAAGAAAAGTTTACTGTTACATTAAGTCTTACAATGTACCTTAAATACATCTTCCAGAAGGGAAAGTCTTACGTTTGTATGACATTCATTTAGATAAATCTTTTGTTATGATTTTAATGAAATAGTATCATGATGGTTTTACAAAGTTTGTACAATGTTATGAAAACTATCAAGCCATAAACTTCTCCAACACTTATTTGGAGACGCAAATTTATTAGAAATTCATTTCAATCAATCTAAATAATTACTCTCATCAAAATTTGAAAATGAATTTCTGGTAAAGGAAATAAACTTTATCATTAACTGGTACACTGTATGTTAGTAGTCATAATTTTATAAAAATCCAGAAATTTATCTCCACAAATTTACTAACATCTTTTGCTATGTCATCAGCATTCTCAGTAACCTCTTTCTCTTTTCCTTTCCTTTTCTTCTTCTTCTTTTTCTTTTGTTTACTTGTCTGGTTGGCAGCAGTTTGAGTTTCTGGCTGGGTTTCTATTTCCTCCGATTGATTACCATCGTTATCTGGCAAATTGTCTTCATCTTCATTCAGCTACGAGATATGATTTTGGTACATTTCAAATGGTAAAATGGTATACAAGTACACATGATGTATAAAAATTAGTCTTGTCTTACAGTATCAAAGCTGTACACCTCTAAATGAAAACAAAAAGTAAAAAAAAGTTCACATAAATATTCAGAGAAATATAAATTAAGAATATACATGGTAGTGCAAACTGCATGTATATCAGGGCTTCCGATAATGGAAGTTTGGGAGTCATTTACTCCTTGATTTTGGCTTGTGACTTCCAAACTATAATACTTTTCTTTCTTTACCTTTATAATGTGACTTCCAATATCTCAGATTTTACAGTTTCTGACTTCCAAATTTTGAAGTTTAATGGAAGCCCTGGTATATAAATGTCTGAATTTAAATTTTTTTTTATCATTTTATCATAACTATTTTATCATAACTTCACACTATTATTTTTGAGAAAGTTTGTTGTTGTTGTAATTTTCAGCAATTTGCATGATGTCATGGTGGGGTTTATAATTGGTCCAATGTAAAATAGATTCTTCACAAAAGTAAAAATTTTATAAACCAGAATATTTTACCTCAAGATTGCTTATCTTATTAGAGAAAATAGTAAATCTATGTTACTGGAAAATGGAAAAGACTTACTTTTTATTGGTTAAAAAATAATTTAATACATTATTTCAAATTATTCTTGGTGACAAACCAAAGAGGCAAACCTTCATCCTTCATATTGGCACAGTGCTCAATAAATAAAATAGGTCACTGTATAGCACTTGTATTAATAGCGAGCTCGACGAGCTGGCCCAAAGGGCCTGCTCGCAAAGTGAGCTTTACGGTAACGCGAGTACCTGCTAAGTGATGGTTTTGAAAACTTTCGTCCGAAGTACCGAATTGGACACATCGCAACTTTTCAAATTTAAAGATAACGATAAAAACTGAGGAATTCTGACTGAAAACGGATGTGTAGACTGGTCACCCGCACACGTCTATGGGAACTATAATTGGACAGGGAACCAGAATAACGGAAGCTTTCACATTGAAGGCGCCATTTTGTTTGAAAAATCTGATAAATAAAAACAATTTTTGGTCGAATTTTGTTGTGAAAACTATCTAGAATGAAAGAAAATGGTCTAACTAAGAAAATGAATCCGAACACCAATATTTTTTATTCAGTCGTTAACGCTGTACAGACGCTTAAAGTATTGTTTACGTGACGTCACAATGTAGCGCCAAACAGCACGTGCAAAACAATCAAATCAAGTACGATATTTTAATGTCGCAAACGTGTAAAGTTTACATTTATTTCACTTTTAATAATCTTTATATCGCTTGAAAAATTATAGAATGACGTTTTCAAAACTCGATATTCATTTAACGACAGGGGCGGAGCCATATTTAATACAGTATGTGTGACGTCACACGCACTCGGAATAAAAATGAGCGATTATTTCATACTATTTCACGTTAAAAGTACATCGAGCTCGCTTTGAGGCTTTGCCTTTTTCATATTATATTATGAAAGTTTGATTCTTTTTTAATGTAATTCTCAAAAAAATCTCCAGAAAAGGGACTTTTATAAATGTATGTAAAATTATGTCGTCGAGGTGTTTCCGAGTGAAAATGGAACAGGTACATGAGATGCCAAATGACACCTTTATAGCGAGCTCGACGAGCTGGCCCGAAGGGCCTGCTCGCAAAGCGAGCTTTACGGTAACGCGAGTACCTGCTTAGTGATGGTTTTGAAAACTTTCGTCCAAAGTACCGAATTGGACACATCGCAACCTTTCGAATTCAAAGATAACGATAAAAACTGAGGAATTCTGACTGAAAACGGATGTGTAGACTGGTCACCCGCGCACGTCTATGGGAACCATAATTGGACAGGGAACCAGAATAACGGAAGCTGTGTATAAAATTGTAAATTGAAGGCGCCATGTTGTTTGAAAAATCTGATAAAAAATAAACAATTTTTTGTCGAATTTTGTTGTAAAAACTATCTAGAATGAAAGAAAATGGTCTAACTAAGAAAATGAATCCGAACACCAATATCTTTTATTCAGTCGTTAACGCTGTATAGATGTTTAAAGTATTGTTTACGTGACGTCACAATGTAGCGCCAAACAGCACGTGCAAAACAAACAAATCAATTACGCTATTTTAATGTCGCAAACGTTTTCAGTTTTACATTTATTTCACTTTTAATTCATTTTAATAATCTTTATTTCGCTTGAAAATTATAGAGAGAAATAAAATAAACAAAGTTTTATAAACGTTTTCAAAACTCGTTATTCATTTAACATCAGTGGAGCCATTTTTCACACAGTACGTGTGACGTCGCACGCACTCGTCACTGCATTTGAAATAAAAATGAGCTATTATTTCATACTATTTCACGTTAAAAGTACATCGAGCTCGCTTTGAGGCTTTGCCTTTTTCATATTAACTGAAAGTGTAAATAACAAAAATGAACAATAATTATAACCGACTTCCCCATTCATATTACAGATCTGAAAGGCTGGCGGCTGCCAAAGATAAAACCTCATACATCAAATATATCTATTTCTTTATCAATCTCATGTTAAATTAACAGTTTCATATCTCAAGGATATTTATCTCTGATAATCTTTGCTACCAAATTTACCAATTCAAATAGATTTTCAACTGCTGGTTTCTTTTTCTTCTTGTTTTTCTTGGCACTAATAGGCTGCACATCTGGCTCCTCATCAGAAAGAGTTTCTGGTAGTTCTAAGGCAGCCAAGTCATCACCCTGAAGTTTTCTCAATGCTCTACTAGACATTTTATTTTATTGTCAGTTGTAATGTTGTTATTACTGCAACATTATGTTTATTGCTCGAAAAATAAGAAAATTTCACTGTTTTCACATTTTATGTGCAAGTCGGAAGTAATACCTGATTAAATAATATTTGACAGCTGACGAGAATATATTCTAATTTTAAACACTACATGAAGTGCGAAAAAATCTTTTTTACGCGAAAAAGAACAACATTTTTTTTGTCATCCTAGATGAATCCAAGGGGTTTTGTCACTATCTGGAAGATGAATTTATAAAATTAAAAAGGCCTACTAAAAAACCATTTTTGATATTTAGCGATAATCAAAGGTGAACCTCCACTGCAATAAGAAATTTTCCTGTTTTTCTTATTTATAAGGGACAGTAACTTAAATATATTCCAATACAATTAACTTTTGATCAATAATACTTTATGTGTATTATTTCCTTAATGATATAGCCACATTATTTTCATTATAAGCAAATCATTTATTTGTGAAAATGGTCCAAACTGGTCATTTTCCTCTAAATAGTACTCATGTTTAAACAAAGGACAATATATATACTGCAGTATATATATAACTCATAATCTCGGTTTAATTAACATATTGCAGTGTTTACATATTCTAATATATATATACAGTAGAGTTATACTTAAATATATATTATAAGTCTCTGAATAGCAATCATTTCTACATTTTTTTAAATTTTAGTTAATATATAATGATAAACTTGGCTAATAATAGACACAAGAACAGATAGAAGAAGAAAATGAACACAATTTTAAAGCAGAAGATAACATCTTACGGTATAAGAATAATGTTACTTAAATTTCAATAGAAAATGTAGATTGAAATAAACCAACAACGCACGAGATAAAGAAGATATGTGACAACTCAACTCAACTCAACAATTTCATTTCATAATTAACAAAATATATATCATACAATAAAACAGCATTTGTAAAAGGTAATATCGATATAATTTTATAATATATATTTTATAATATATAATATATATATTTATATAATTATATTTATAACGTTGTCTACTAACTTCAAAATAATAGCAATATATATGACATTGTCAACTAACTTCAAAATAATAGCAGTATTTATGACATTGTCTACTAACTTCAAAATAAAAGTAGTATTTATGACATTGTCAACTAACTTCAATTTAACAGCAGTATTTATGACATTGTCTACTAACTTCAATATAATAGCAGTATTTAAGACATTGTCTACTAACTTCTAATACATTGTATAAGATAATAAATATATGTAAATAGCTTTCGAAGAGTTTCATCATTCCAAGTTGATAATAACTTTTATCACACACCCGTGCCGATTTTGCGACTCCGTAAAAATGGTATTGCACGGCCGTGTATATATTTTGACGTGACGTCATTAGCGTTATACAAACATAGTGTAAAGACGCGCTAAATGTTAGCGTTATACTATAGGCTCGTCAATGAAAAATGACTCTTATTTCACTTTTAACGGTCTTTATTTTGGGTATGTGATAAAAAGAATATTAAATTCGTGTAAGTTCATTACTGAATTTATTGCACTAGTTGAATAAAATAATATTATTCAACTCGTGCAATAAATTCAGTATTGAACTTACACTCATTCAATATCCTCTTTTTATCACACACCCGTGCCGATTTTGCGACTCCGTAAAAATGGTATTGCACGGCCGTGCATATATTTTGACGTGACGTCATTAGCGTTATACAAACATAGTGTAAAGACGCGCTAAATGTTAGCGTTATACTATAGGCTCGTCAATGAAAAATGACTCTTATTTCACTTTTAACGGTCTTTATTTTGGGTATGTGATAAATAGAATATTAAATTCGTGTAAGTTCATTACTGAATTTATTGCACTAGTTGAATAAAATAATATTATGCTCGCCAGAGGCTCGCATAATATAATTTTATTCAACTCGTGCAATAAATTCAGTATTGAACTTAGACCCATTAAATATCCTCTATATAGAAATTTCTACCCTAGTTCCAGAATTATACCTGCTAAATAGATATAAATTTCTAATATATATGTATATATATATATATATATATATATATATATATATATATATATATATATATTATATATATATATATATATATATATATATATATATATATATATATATATATATATATATATATATATATATATATATATATATATATATGGAAAAATGCATGATATTCACAGTCTATACATCCAAGTCCCTTTCTAAGCAAAAAGTACATAAATGATCATTATATGAAATATTTAAATGTCTGTCTCCCTCTATGTATAATTTATGGTTTGAACATCTAAACTTTTTTAACGCAATTTTATGTTTTAAAGGCGTACTTATAGACAAATATCATATTCAATGTTAAGTAAATGATTTTAATGATGACAAAGACTTGAGTTATTTATATTATCATGCCAGTTCTGAGTAGAACAATCTATCAATCTGTTTCTAAACATTTAAATAAATAATTTACAATCACCAACAGTTTGTGATATCCATGCAAATCCAAATCCGTATTTGAATAAAAGTAATTTAACATTTGTTGCCCAACAATTTCTTCCAGCATTATCAAGAGCATATAACATTAAGTAGCATTGTTTTGAGTATCTGTGAGAAGGCATAAAATTTTGCAATAATTTACACCAGTAACGTACACAATTTGCATGTAATGCATATATGTAGACGTCCACATTCTCCTAACACCATACATGTATTTGTAGTTTGACGTACAAATTTAAGTTTTCTACAAAATTGATTATGTATAGATTCAATTTTGGTTATATATATACAGTGTACACATATCCATAAATATCATGTCTCAGATATTTCTCGACAAATAGACTTGACAGAATAGAAGAAGTTTTATCACAAGTTTTCAAATGAGCTTATAATTACTGAATTATATTCAATAAAAGCCGTGGTTTCCACACAGGGACTCGGCACAGTGTTGGTATAGTGTAAAAAGTAATTCTAGAAAAAATATATACTGTATCTATATATTATATACAATGTTTACAGTATATATTTATCTAGCATTACTTTTTTACATTATCCTAACACTGTGCCGAGTCCCTGAGGGTTTCCATTGCTGTTGACCACATTCTTTATATTTCTAAGTAAGTGGATTGTCCCTTCTTGATGTAAGTTAGCTAGTACATTATATGTATATTACCATTGTCAAATAAAGGCATTAATTTGCTTTTTTATCAAATCCACGAGACAGTTTTGCTTTTTACACAGTTTCCAATAATATATTTCATACAGATGACACCATTTCACACAATCATATTGCATATACAATAAAAATCTGGAATCGAATTGATCACTCGGATCGAGGCATTAATCACGACAAAATTACATGAAAATTGCAGACTCGGTTTGATTGAGTCTGTACATGAGGGATAATGAATAAGTGCAACATCCCTCACGCCTCCTGGCACCGGCTGAACGGTACTCATTTCTCAACACTTAATGGAAAGTAGTTTACTGACCTTGATATCAAGCTGTGTGTAAAAAAATAGTACCAGAGAAATTAACTTATTTTATCCATTTCTTGCATACATGACATACACAGACACACTTCGCTGTTGCACAATAGAACACGAGATACTGCTTTTTGTGGAATTAAGTTTTGCAAGTTTTTTGTTGCAAAAAAAGCATTCCTCTGCACTGAAACAGATTTTAAACAAGATTTTGCCATTAATGAAATGTACTTCAAACTTTGCTGGTCTTCAGAAATTTAGCACATTCAAGGTAAATATTCTTATTGTTATTGTTTATATTTTTGTTTATTACAGTCTTTAAAACATAGACCTGGAAATGTAATTGCAAATTGTTAACAAACATGGCTGAAAATGCGGAAATAAAAACTTCGATTAAATTTTGTCCATTTTACGAAAATAAATCAAATGCAATAAACATGGCTGCCGCCTTGATTCGCAAGAAGAGTTTTTTGTGTAGTTTAATGCTACATAGTACTGTCAGAACAATTTATGGCACTACGGAATTACAATTTGATTTAAAGAAATCAAAAACGATGAAGAAAATATTGAAAAAGGCTGAAAGGTATATGAATTCACAAATTTACCAAAGGGAGGGAACTCTGTTGTAATGGCATAGTACTCGTATGACCCTTTATTCGGACAGAATGTACACAGAAATGAGTTTTTTAGTTGACATTGCCGATCAGTTATCTGATTCACCTGAAAAAACTCATAATAGTCAAGAAAGTTGCCTTTCTGACAACTAATTTTTGTAATCTCAGTTTCATGTATTCAAGAAAAGTAGCACTTGGTGTAAGAATTAAATTTGTTTTGGCGAACATAATTTACGAAGAGGTGCGAAAAGTGCTTTTGTCAACCTTATGTTATATAGTAATTATACGTTACCATTACCTTAACTTGATTGTGAATTAATTAATTACTTATTAATACTGTGCATATATGTTTATTGTCAATATATATCATATGTTGGAAAAAGAATAAAAAAATATTTTGTTATTTTCTTTTGTTACAAATCGTGGTGTATTTTCTCTTATATTCTCTTCAGTTTTGTTTTGCCTGTTACTGTGTAGTGGAAACATATAAGGATCACTTCTCTGTTGTCCGTCAAAAACTTGTCTGGACTATTCCTCAAAAACTACTGGTGCAATTTCATCTAAACTTAAAGGAATGATCAGTACATGCATTTTCTAGTTCAATGATTTTTATGCTCCCCGAAAAATTTCTCAAGTACTTATGCATATTACAAGGTTATCTGGTTGAATGGAATATGTCTGAGTTATGGCCCTTGAATGAAAAATGCATTTTGGCCTGTTAATGATTTTTGTGTCACCATCCATACAGAAGCTGGATTATGGTGCAAAGGAACCACAACATATGGTTATAGGGATTACTTCTTTAATGTCTGTCAATCTGTGTGTTGGTCTGTCTGTCACAAAGCTTGTCCAGACTATCCCTCAAAAACTACAGATGCAATTTCATCTAAACCTTACAAGAGTAATAAGTACCAAGTCTACACTATAGTTGTGCATATCATCAGAATTTTCCATTTCAATGATTTTTGTCAGAGTAATTGTCTTATTCATCATTTTTATTTTTTAAAATTTTGCCCAAAATTCTTCTTTTATACTTATGCAAATTGAGTGAAACTTTTCAGGATTGATCATTACATCAAATATCTGCACATAGTTAACAGGTTTTTGGGTTGAGTGATTTTTGCTGAGTTATAGCCCTTGGATAAAAAATGCATTTTGGCTTGTTAGTGATTTTTGTGTCTTCTGCTACACAGTAGCTGTTACAGTGTAACATGCGGCAACTTTACAACTGATCAATCACCAGTCAATACAACTGCTTAATTGGCTATCAACAGGCCCTATAAAATGAGCCGCATCACGACAAAACCAGCATAGTGCGTTTGCGACCAGCATGGATCCAGACCAGCCTGCGCAGTCTGATCAGGATCCATGCTGTTCACTTACCAACCCTATAACAAGTATGGAAACTAATAGCGAACAGCATGGATCTTGATCAGACTGCATGGATGCGCAGGCTGGTCTGGATACATGCTGTTCGCAAACCCATTATGTTGGTTTTGTCATGACACGGCTCAAATATTAATTCTAACATGCTTCCACACTATTCCTATCAAACAGATAGGGCAATCAAGTGCATATTACATATATGCACAGCATAAAAAAGGAATGCTTACACGTCAAAAGGGGGAAAACCTGAAATTAAATTCCAACAACTGAGAATGGAATTTACCCACACATTTTTAAAAATTTTCAATTTTAATTTAATTTAACATGCATGGTTCTTAGCAGAGGCCATCTATAGTGACAGTTTGCTGTTTTTCAGTGAATTAAATTTAGCAACTAGCTGAAATAAGTCAGCTGCTGTTAAGTCATTGTTCTAATGAAAAATGTGCACAGGGCATTTCAGGGGAAAATATATCTATTTTGGTCTAGGAAAAACAGTTTTTTGCCATAAAATATTGGAAATTAATAACTGTATAAAAAATTATGTTATCAAAATAAGACGTAAATGGAGAAGTACAACACGTCAACACCAGAGATGGTTAAGATTTATTTATTTTCTACTGATTTCAGTTCTATCACACCTTGAAAAAGATTATGTTGTAACACTGAAGCCTTATTAAGAACCTCATTGCCTTACAGTGTATTATATTGGAATATTTAACTCTTGTCGTTAGATATTTTAATTGGCTACGCTCACAGGTTTTTTCTTTTTCAGAAAGAAAGATATAAAATGGTTTGCACCCATTTATGGACAGGTACGGGTACAATTAATTTATTTTTATGCCAATGATTTAGCAATGTATAATGATGTAGTCTGATAAATTATCCTTGAATTTAACTTCTTGTGTAATTTGATACATTGGCAAAACAGTAAAAAAAAATCTTTCTAGGTATCAGTTAAATGTGCAGAGAATTTTGGTAAATAAGAACATGAACTGCATGTAAGCAATCTCATTAAAATCAGATCATTGTTTTCGCTCCCTTACTCTTCGCTATTTGGCGTAGGGTGGTGGAGAGATATTTAGGATATGATTTTAATGAGATTGGCATGTAAGTTGTTTTCTTTTTCCACAGTATTCATATTACTGCAACATAATTATTATTCGTGGGAAACTAATTTTTGTGGTTTTCGTGGATAGGTCAATCTACGAATTTAAAATCCACAAAATTTCATTTCATCTACTGAAAGATCACTTTATTAATTGCATCACATTATTTACATTTTACCTTTTGGAAAAAAAAACAGTCCACAAATTTATGAAACCTCGGAACTGTTCTTTGTGACAAAACCACGAAATTTCATGCTCACAAAATTAAGTGAATTACAGAATGTAGTATTAACTCCACTCTTGTTTCATCATTAATGAAAAAAATTCTTCTTTTCTCAACTCCATCTAGAAACCAGATGTTGATTTCCCTCGGTCAGGAAAACCTGCAAAATCCAAGGAAAGATTCTCCGAAGGGAAACAAAGACGAGCAAATCATATTGGTGATGTCATGTACGATACCGTCTGTGCCATAATAGGAAGTGGACAACTTGGTGTCAAAGCCAATATTTTACAAGTATGTTCGTAACGTTTTTTTTTACTGTTCAATATATTATAATGTACTATATCTATGCCCATTTTCTAGACCATCCTGTCAATATTAATACATGTATAATTAAATGCTTTTGTTGGATAATGAAGTACTGTTAAGTAATTATTTTGTAATAGTAGTGTGGCGACATGGCCGAGTGATTAACGCTTCAGACTTAGTAGAACTCTAATGATTGCTGATCACATGGGTTCAAACCCTGTCAGATGCAAGCCTTTGTTTCCATGAGCAAGAAACTTTACACTCATTGCTTAGTATTGGTGGTTCCAAGAACGGATTCGAGGGTGTTTCAATAAGCTTATAGCTTCCAACACAATGGAGATAAAATAAATTAGTATAAACTATAAACTAAGTAATTTTTTGTATAAATGTTTGTGTAAATGATTGTTTTGAAGGCCTTAAGGAATAAAGGTTTTATCCTATAGAGTTAGCTTTGGTATTCTTGTTCATATCACAATTATTGATGTGTTAAGATGATTAGGTCATTTTATCGGATAATGTGTAATAAAATTACTGTATTTATAGGTGCAAGTAATACCGGATATGTCATACATGAATATATTTTGGGAAGCAAGTGGGGACAAAGAGAAAGATGATCAGATAGAGTTAGAATTAAATGAGAAAGCAAGTTTGTTAAGGTATTTAAAAGAGTTTTCAATTACAGTATGCCCCCAAAAAATGGGGGCGGTTCAAAGTTTTTTTGCATTTTCCTTCCATCTGTCCGTGCACAATTTGAGTCTGGTCTATAACATTGTCATTTTTAGCTGGATTTGGTAAATGTTTGCATAAATGTGAAGAACATTGAAAGGATATGTTGTCAAGGTCAAATTGTGACTTGTCAAGGTCAAATCTTTTTATAAAAGTGCATTGATGTTCCTGTCTGGCCAATTATTCTGTTATTGCTGGATGGATTTTATCATAACTATTATTCATAAATATGTTAGACATGATGATCATGCATCACTTGCAAGAATTTTGTCAGTAGCTCAAAGGTCAAGGTCAAATTATGGATGGTCTTTGAAACAAATATGCCTTATAAATATGCTGCTTATTAAGAGGACATGCAGTGAATAAAATTTCAGCTGCCAAAAAGGTCAAGTTCATGTCAAAAGGTCATGATATGATAGTCATGTCCAGTTCATATCTTTGACAGTCACAGATTTTGTAATAACTTGGCTTAAATTTATGATACATTAAAACAATCTGGGTTGCATTTTAAGACTATGTGTTTCTTGCAAGGATTAGGTCTTCAGTTCAAAGGTCAACGCTACTTAGTATGTCAAAAGTCATGGTTGTGTGTTATAATTGAAATAATTTGAACTAATACTTGATTGTTTCCAATGACAGGTCTTGTTCTTGAATTGTTTGAAGACAATTGGTAATTATGATTTATCTCAGCCACATGTCTGAATCCAGGCCAACTTGTACATCCAGTCAGATCATGCATAATACAGGTGGAATTATGGATTGGGAATCTTTAAACCTATTACATTAAAACAGTTCACCTCCAGATTTTTGTTATATCTATGACATTTTAAAAACTGTTGTGAATTTGTCGTAAAGTATATATATAGTGGAAGTGGTGGCCTAGTGGTTAAGGTGTCTGCCTCTCAACCCTTGGGTCATTGGTTTTAGCCCCACTTGGGTCATGACTGAGTTTCTTCATATGACACCAGTACTAATTGGTTCCAGGAAGCAGACTGGAAAGTGATTAATATGATCAATATAACTTGCAAGAACTTGTTTTGCAATCAAGCTTTAATTAATATGTTTAAACTAAGTATATAATTATACATCAAGTCATTAAGGTAGTCTTACTGTATACTTTTCCGCCAAAAAACATTGCCCAATATTGTAGCACATTGCTTATTTCCAGAACATTATTTTTTTTAAATCTTGGGCATTAGAATATTTACAATCACACATCATTTATCGCTTTGTACTAAATCTGGTTATAAACGGTTAAAAATTACTGAATACCAAAGATTGTGAAAAATAGTGTTCCGGAAATGACAGTTTTATTACGATATTGGCCGAAGTTAGAAACTCATTTGTAGGAAATCATTGCAGAGTAAGACTATCTTAAACATTATTACAAGCACACTATATCTGCATAAAATTCTATTTCAGACAAATTCTGATGGAGACTAATCAGGTAGGAAGCGTTCCAAAACCGATATTTGTTAAAGACATGTCAATATCCAAACAGAAGCATATTGAAAATTTACTGTATCAAATCAGACTTGACATGGAAAAAGAGACACCCGCAGAAGAAGATTCTGAAACAAATTCGGATGTGGAAACTTTATATGAATGTGATGCAGAAAGCGATTCAGACGTTAAAGTTGTTAGTGCTATGAATATGGACAGTGGACTAGATTCCAACGATGGATCACTTTGTGAAAAAATCGAAACAGAATTTAGACAAGATTTGTACGATGTTCCACATGATGTTCTTATAAATAAAGTTGTTACAGCAAAACTTTCTGCCTATCAAAGACCTACAATTGAATCCACTACAAATATTGACAATGATCGATTCATGGATTTTGATAAAAAATTGAAAAAAGTGCTCGCACCAAAAGAAAAGATAAGTAGAAAAAAGATGTTACGACAGTTGGAGCAAGAAGAGTTGCGCAATTATGAAAAGGAAATTTATCAGTCAGATGAGTTTGATGAAGAGTATGAATATGATGACGATGATGATGTTAACGAAGAGAAGTCCGGTGTAGATATTTGGATGAAAGGATACCAGAAAGATTTTCCCGATTCAACCTAACTTGTCTATTAATTGCATTAATTAGTTATATGGTAAAAGATATCATGAATAAAAGTTTTAATTTACTTTATTACTCATCATTATAATTTGAACAAAGTTTATCAAATATGAATTTACATTTAATTCTGTTTATTCAGTGTACTCTGTAACTTTTAAGCAAGTTAGACCTTTGCAACTTTGCTGCTTGGCTTTATAATGGAGAGAGCTGCAGAATGTCTACTTAAGCTACCCAAACATCATGAATAAGATACGTTATTATGCCTACAACTGATATTATGTTTAAAGAAATTATTAATGATCAAGAACTTCCTCCATTACAACTATCGCCACTCAAGAGGTAACCCAGATCTTCACCTTGTAGTAGCAACTCTTGTGTATCTACCATCTGGGAAGATGAAAGAGTAGTACTAAATGACATAAATATAACTAATTAGTCAATTAACAGTATCTTTTCTTAATCCAATTTCCACAGCATAAAACTATATTCAGACTTTGAGTTAAACATTAAACAAATTCTATTTTTAGAAAAATCACATGGCGCATAGAAAAATCACATTATGGCGCATATACTCTATTTTTATACGTTAGGAGATCAAATTTCTCCTGATATTATACAACTTTGATGAAAAGTCGTAAGTGTGGCACCCTCAGTTATCATCATTAAATAAACCTTAAAACTTATCCGGTGTTGATTATTCCACTTAATTCATTAATTTAGCAAGCTGTGATTTGGTTTGATTAGAAGGTACACAGATATGGTGGTGATTTTCCAGCTTTACTTATGTGGAAAGACCTTCAGTATACTGCAGTGCAATATTCTGAAGAAGCACCAGAGTAAATTATTTTGCCAAATATGATTTGTTTAGTAGGTCGTCATGCTAGTTTTCACACATACACAGGTTTATGGGACTGTTACTGATAAGTGTTCATGCATGCTGTACCAGTACATGCCTATGCCCGGTATGCCTATGTCAAAGTGTTCAAACTTGCAAACAACACCTATACCTAACCTTGGATAAGATACATACCAATAAAAAAATTGGATTGTTTGTCAAAGAAGAATCAATAAGGGAATATCTAATTAAGTTCAAAATAAGAAACAAAATTTCCTTAACCATACAGAATTTTAAAAGTTACAAATCAATAAAATGCACAACAATCATGAGTTTATGTTTTTTATTTACAGGATATTTTTTTTTTAGAATTAACACGAAAGAGGAGAAAAAAGTTCAATAAGTAACTTTGACAATATACAAATATACATGACATGACAAAATGAAAGAAGGTATACATGTGAATGCAGAGTCCTTACAAAGATATACATGTATATAGACGACTATATGAAAATGCACTATCTTTTATTTTTTTGACATTTTTATATTTCCTTAAATTTTTTTTGACAATGCTAGCCTAATAGTTAAGCAAGTGCGGCAAAAAATGATACTAATTCAGCAATGGGGACGTATACAATGTACTTTAACATTTTAGTCATCATCATTTAAAATTGAAGAGCAAGTGTTATAAAATTCAGTGACAAACTTGTCATAATATATGGTGGGAATCAAAGTAATGGCTTTTATTCTATAAACATTGTCTTCTTGTCAGCATAAAATACTTTCGCTCTGATACATAACACTTTATTTCAAATGAGAAAAGAATTATTGCAGAGATAAAGAAAAATTGTTTTTAGCACCTTTTGTACATGAGTATGTATTATAAACACATTTTGTTTTACCCTGATCATGCCAAATTTATAAAATGAACTTTACCAACTTTAAATTTGGCACAGTCGACTGTAGTTTGACCCCCTTAGTCTGCTGGAGGAATTTACCATGTGGCCAGTGCAGACAAACATCAGTCTGCACATTCATGCCATCTGATCATGGTCTGCACTGTTCACTATTTAATCAGTACATACTTTAAAATTCTCCCTAAATATTAGTAATGGTTTTGTCAAGATTGAAAGATGGACAAGTTCATTTACGATATATTTAGCGTGGTTAGAAGTGTTTTTGTATCAAAATGCTAAAATTTAGCAGCCAACAATATGAATCTTGGTCAAACTGTACAGATGCGAAGGCTAAACTTTTATAAATGTTTTTTCTATATGTTAAAGTAATGTTTTAATCACAGTTTTGGCTCTATTCTGTTGCCTGCCCTAGCAACAGGTATTAACTTTTCTCGCTCTTCCATCGGTAGGTACTTTGCTATAAGAGATTTTAAACTCTGTTTCGGCGTCACATGACCTTGTCTTTTAAACAGTAGAACAAAATCCGACATGTTGATTTGTTTTCTGCCTGCATGTTTGGCATAGGCTTCCAAATCCTTGGCCATGATGTCCCAGTATTTCTCGGATCTAAAATAAAACAACCTTAGTCTTATCTATAAAATGACTTTGTTCTTAAAGATAAATATTTGAAGTTCAAAATTGACATTTGAAAATATTGAAAATAGCTACACCGTCTCTTTTATAATATAAAATCAATATTTGTGGACTTCACACAGAGTAGATATGTTTTTAAACTCTACACACTATAGGAGGCCACAATATGAGTTATTTCAAGAAAGGACCAACTTTTCTTGATCTGTAATTGGGAATGCAGCTTCCTGTATATAGTTTTTACACTGTTAAATTCAAATAAGACATATTTAGGAAAAATTTCAATAAATTTCAGTTATAAAAGTTTTTTACTAAAAGATGAGCAAGGTATATTTTTAAGTAAATGACTGGCTATTTAACAAGTAAATCCTACCACAACTGATTTAGATGACATATCAACATCATTAGTATCAAAATAAATCTCCAAGTTTGAATGATTTAGGTTGGATTTTAGTCACACCAACAAAGTTAAGGTCATATGATCACTTTCCAGGTTTATTGATGGAGGAAGACATCAGGTGCACCTCTGTGCATTATTTTAGCAATGAACAGGCACCTGAGTATAACCACTGACTTTCCGTAAGCTAGTCCAAGTTCTCATAAGGGTCATTTGAAGACGGTATCCAGACAGTTAATCCTTGTATCAAAGGAGCTTGCTGGTGCCCCCCAAAAAATGCACTGAGGGGTATAAGACGTCTTCTTCTTACAGAATTACGAAATGAAAATCAGTATACAACTGTCATTTTGATACAAAATTAAACGAAAATATAAAAATAGTGTGAAGTAAAAATCTTACACTTTCATCACTTCTTCAACAGCTTCCTTGGACACCCTCATGCCTGCATAGTGAGTAAAATGCTTCTTTACTACAGAAACTGGTAATGAATAGTTGGACTTCTGTCTCGGCTTTCTAACAGCTTTCTTACGTCTGTAAAACAATTAATGTGTGATTCAAATTTCATCACAGATCACAATTTATGCACTTAAAATTTTGAATAAATTTTGAAGAATTAAATAACGTTAGTAGTTAGTACAATTATATCATTTTAAATTTTTCTCTGAAAATAAACATATAGGGTTCAAACTTCGTTTTGTTTTATTCATTTATAAGAGAAATTTTATTTGTTGGGTTTTATATTGCATAAACACAGCAGGTCATATGGTGACTTTTCAGGAAGACCTTAGGTACTTCTCTGTGCAATAATTACATTCACAAGAGCCCACCTCAGTAGAACCACTGACATTCCATACACTAGCTGGATAGCTCCCTTACATGGATAAATCCATAGTCATGGAATGATTGGAACCTACAGCAAAGAGGGGAAAGGTTTTTGAAATCAATGACTAAAACCACTCGGCCACAGACTCTCCATATAAGGTAATGGCATTCTTGTTTTTATTCAGTTTTGAATGCAGTACATGAGATAACCAATCATGCTGGTGTTACAGATATAAGACCTGTATTTTGATAATGTTTCTCGGAATAATAAAACCAACATCCGCATATTAGAGCAAAGTTCTCAACACAAATTCTCAAATTATCTTTACATAATACTATAAAATATATAAAGGATATTGAATGAGTGTTGGTTCAACACTTAATTTATTTCTGGCGAGCGTAATATTATTTTATTCAACAAATTCAATAAATTTAATAATGAAGCTACATAAATTCAAAATTCTATTTATCACATATCCAAAATAGAACAGTTTACAGTAAAATGACTCACTTTTTTATTGACACTCATTTAATGTGACACTAAGGCTGTGTCTTTATGCATTTTGTGTACACAGCAACTGATATCACATCAAATACCATTCTTACAGTGTCACAAAAGCGGCATGGGCATGTGATAAAATAGGATACTTGTATTCTGTTATTGTGACATTTTTACTTTTACAGAAGGAATCTTTAGTGATGATGGAAATGTGAAAAAATGTCGGCATTACTTTTGGTACAGGAGTGGTCTCTTCAACCATGGGCACAGAACTCTGCTGACTTTGCTGCTGATTTTCAGTTACTTCTTGTTCTTCATTTATCTGAATTAATATAAATTACTTTTCTTGGGGTTTGGTTTTATGTTGCACCAACACTGTAAAGATCATTTGGCAATTTTCCAGCTTTACTGGTGGAGGAAAGGCTCGGGTGCCACTTTGTGCATTATTTCAGGCACACAAAGGCACTGGAGTAGCACCACTGACGTTCCTTAAGCTACCTGGATAGCTTCCACAGTCCTGAGGGGCAAGTGGTTTGAACTCAATGACATTAACCACTAGACCATGGACACCCTCAGTTCTGATATTCTATGTACAATAAACAATTGTACAATCAGGAGATATTTCTTATTTACTATATCCCTTTAAGAAATTACTCTTTAGTACTAATGCCCGGCTGCTTATGCAACACTCTAACAAAAGGGTTTAACAAAAATGGAAGCAAAGAACAAACTAATTAAAACATCTTCCACCTCGAAAATAAATAAATAAAAAAAAAAATTCAGAATAAAGTAAGAATAAGGAATCTAGCTTACCTCATCTTGCCATTGCTCATCATTGTCAACATGTTCATTATCTTCATCATCATCATTCTCATCAACACCAGTATCTGTATGTACCGTAGTACTTCTGTCCACAGCATCAGCACGTACCGTAGTACTTCTGTCCACAGCACCAGCATCAGTATGTACCATAGTACTTCTGTCCACAGCACCAGCATCTGTATGTATCATAGTACTTCTGTCCACATCACCAGCATCTGTATGTACCGTAGTACTTCTGTCCACAGCACCTGGCCCTGTACGTGATAATGTTGCCAGATTCTGGGTTGATGCAATTTCTGGTGAGAAATTAACTGTATTGTTTGGTAATGTATTTACCATATCTGTAATTTAAAAAAAAATCACATAAGTTTAATATTTTTCTAAAAAGTTAAAACTTAAAAATCATTTGTTATCTAAATATCAATTTTGATTATTTCAGTATGTACAAGTTCATTCATTGGCTTTTCCTATATAGAGGATATAGAATGAGTGTAAGTTCAATACTGAATTTATTGCACAAGTTTGAATAAAAATTTATTATGCGAGGCCTCCTTGGCAGCAAATATTATTTCATTCAAACTGTGTGCAATTAAATTCCAGTAATGAACTTACATTGAATTTTAAATATTCTTATTTATCACATACCAAAATAAGACCCTTTAAAGTGTGAAATAAAGTCATTTTCATTGACGCGCCTATAGTTTTATCGCTAACTTCAGGCGCTTCTTCGCACTACGTTTGTTATAACGCCTAATGACATTCACGTTCAAAATACTAGGCACGGTCGTGCAATACCATTTTCACGGAGTCGCAAAATCGGCACGGGTGTGTGATAAACATTTTTATGAACAACTTGAGCTTGATTGTCTTTCAACCTATTTTGTCATTAAACAAATAAAAGCCTATTTAACTGGCATTTTCATCCATTTTGGCACAAATTTTGTGCCATGCTTTGAGTTAGTACATTGTACATGTATAAGAAATATGTGTGTACTTGCATTAAATGTATAAGTCATTTAAACAGTCACATAAAATCAATTTTAGTTTTATTCAGTGTTGACAATATTTTAAGAAGCTCAAATACAGTTCACACTTTTATCAACTCAAATAAGAATAAATATATAAAAGACAGAATAAATCATAATGTAAAAACAGAATAAACTACCTGGAGCTAGCCTCCTACCAGCAACAACTGGAGAAGTAGATAACCTTGTAGAGGGTGTTTGACCTTTTGACCTTGACCTGCTCAATGATTGATTTACAGATGAACTTGACCTTTCTAGCATTTCCTTCTCTTCTCCTAGACTTTCTTGTTCAGAGTCACCTAAATGTGTCCTAGATTTTCTTGTCGATGGTTGAAGCTCCATACTACTTCGAGATTCATTCATACTGTTCGCTCCTGGAGAAACCACTGGTGATGGGGTCACTGTCTTTAATGGAGTGTGATCCCTGGATCTCATCTGGTGTCCTGCTGAACCTACTGGTGTCCCGTGTCTCGAACCACCAGACACTGGGGTCAGCATTTGTTGTGGTGTATAATTTCTTACAGAGGAGTGTCTAGTAGAATTTCTTGATGACAAACTTCGTGCACTGCTCGATGGAGACACAGATCTGGACTGGTTGTCTCCACTTGACGGCATTAACGCTCTACTTTCATATCTAGAACCACTTGGTGTCTGAGTATAAACTCGTTGAGATGTACCGTCTCTAAATGCTGACAGTCTCGATGAATTTCTAGAGGACAAACTCCTTGAAGACAAACTTCTAACACTGCCATCTGGGGAAGCCGAAGTGGACTGGTTGTCCTTGTTAGATGGCATCAACACTCTTGATCTAGATAACCTTGATGATGTCCCACTTCTTGGGCTTGATCCCGGTGAAACTACTGGGGATGCCGTAACATTAGAACGCGGGCGGTCTTCTTCATCTTCATTAGTTTCCATGGTAATGTTTCTCTGAGTTGAAGATATTCTTGGTGAGAAATTACCAGAAATATTTGGCAAGCTCTGATGACGTAAATTTTCTGGAGGAAAAAATGCAACAGTGTCCAGTTCAATGAAATAACCATATTAATCACATCATTTATCACTGTAAAGGGGGAAAAAAAACTTAAAGGAACTACACTGAGGTCCAAAAGCATAACAAACATAAACTTTGAATTTCTTTCCTAGAGCGCTTAAAACAGTAAAATATGCAAAATTTAATTCAGAAATATACTCAGAAATAAATTGAAAATCACATTTGTGTGCTATTCTTAGCCCAATTTGATTGAAAAGCATTTCAACACTTATCTATTTTAGGTATGTTTTCAAATTAGAATAATAAATAGTCTAGAAAAAACAAGTAAGCGTTCAATCTGAATTTATGCACACAAGTTATTGCTCTCGAAAAATTATTAAAAGTCGTCTTTTGACAAAAAACTTCAGTGGAGAGTCCCTTTAAAACTGAAAAAACATATAAAGTTCAATGTATTTTGCTAGCATACAAAGTTTCATGTATATAGCTAGCATACATATGCATCTTGACAATGAAGTACAGGTAATATATTATTACTCAATATATAGAGGATATTGAATAAGTGTAGGTTTAATATTAAATTTATTGAACGAGCTGACTAAAATCATATTATGCGAGCCCCTGGCGAGCATAATATTGTTTTATTCAACGAAATCAATAAATTTAGTATTGAATCTACACAAATATAATATTCTGTTTATCACATATTTTACATAAGAACGGTAAACTGTTATCAAGAGTCATTTTTCTTTGACACGCCTATCATTAGCGCGCTTTAACACTATGTTTATAGCGCAAATGACGTGACGTCAAAGTGTTATTACACTAGTGTAATATTGTCTAGTGTAATACCATTTTTATTAAATGGCTTTATTACACTCCTTCACCGCGGTTTATGCGATAAAATTAAAATAAACAACAAGCACAAACCTTGCCTTGAATATTCTAACTTCTGAGCAGTATACAAGTCATCGACATCATCATTGAATGAACGTATTCTAGCAGGTGACACAGCATCTAGTATATTATCAACCTGTCTACTAGACATTCTTGATACCATATCTGCACTCCTTGAGCTTAAATTTCTATTCCTGCTTCTATTTTGTGCCTCATATCTTGATGACTCTTAAAAAAAATAATATAAAGGTGTATTAAATTTGATTGCTTTGTTTGATTTTCTGTTGCTTTATTTGTGCTGATCTTAACACATTTAGGCCATATTTTGGCAGTCAATCCACCTAACTGACTTTTCTGGATAACTAGTTAAGTGACCTACTACTAATCCCACAGGATCTCTGAATCGCCTTTGGGAGATCAATGACTACCAGACTTATTTTGTACACTGGATACACACATAGTCTAATTTATTGACTGTCCCTGAATAAGTCCAAGTATTCTCATTTTGACTTATGACTAACAACAATATATCACCTGTTTGGAAAAAAATATTCAGCAACTAAAGATCATTTTTCTTTTTTATGCTCCAAAGACTTTAGTCCATACACCTCAGGAGAATCAGAGAGGCCAAATTATAACCTTTTGTTCGTGATTTGTGGATGGAAACTTTACAACTTTTTATCGGACCAAGACAAACGGTCAGTCATGTCCGATGCATTTTGCAAATTTTGCTTAGTCTACTAGATCTATATAACAATTAACATTTAAAATAAAACTCCTAAAATGAATTAACATTCTTTTACCTCAATCAGGTTTTAGGTATTTTTTGATGGCAGATTGGAAATATATACATGTTCTCATTATCAGACCGATATTTAATATCATGGTAAAGGCCATAAAAATATCATACCTGCCATTGAGGTTTCAATACGACTGTGTTGTCTTTGTGACTGGTTCAAGTCATGTCTCCTTATTTCATTATCTGGTGAATAATTAATGTCCACAGTCCTTTGACCTGGCATTGATCTTCTATGACCTTCAGTTGACCTCTGACCTGGTGACTGGAGTCTACTTTGATGCCCTTCACTCCACCGTCCCATTCTTCTGTAGTCCCTGTTTCGCCCACTTTGCTCCACATCATATTCGCTCTCTAGGCTTAAATTACCCTGTGACCTATCAACTTTATAACCGCTTGATCTATTAAAACTTTTATCAGATATAACCGGGCTTCGATCCATCTCACCACCTTTCAAGGGTATAGTATATTCTTCCCAGTCAGGTAACAAATTGGTACCCGGTTGAACTTGCGATGGCATATAACCGGTTCCCTCTTCATAATCCATTTCGTTCTCACTATCGCCAACCATATCATTCTCAAACTGCCTCTCTGTTATTCTAGATTCCTCAACAACATTATCAGTGTGCATCTGTGAACGTTTGTACAAGGAAATCTCTTCTCTCATTGATTCAGGAATTGAGATGTTAAAATTACCTGCAAAATAAAGATAAAAATGAAACATGACCTCTTAGGGGACAGTGCCCTCCACTTTTCTCAGTGCTGGATAGTAAAAAGAAAGCAACATAGAAAAAAGGGGCATAACTTTGCAAAAAATTATTTTAGGGTGCATTTTTATAAAACATTTAATAGCATGACCTTGACAGGCAAGTTTGACTTTTGAGCTGGTTTCCTGATTCTTGCTTCAATGTCCAAAACTTTTAACAAGTCATATTAAAATCCATTCTAGATTTTAAGAATTATTGACTCGACATGACCATCAATTTACCTTTATAATAAAGTCCCTTCAAGTTGGACCTTAACCTTTGACCTACAAACCTTAGTCATGCATGCAACACATTGTCTCAATATTACAGTAACACATTTCTGCAAAATTCTTTCAAAATCCATCCATAAATAACAAAGTAAAACAAACAAACAAACAAACCCAATAATTGACAAGATAGAGGGACAATTCATAAACTACATGTACATGCTATCCTTTGGGGACATAAAAAACCCTTTTATAATGTATAATTCAGTATACACAGACAGTGTTTGTTTTATATACCTTTACGATGTACAGTTCTACTATACACACTGGGCTGTGTCTCTGCTATTACACTTTCTTCATCAGATGAACAAAAAGCACTGAAATTAAAGCAATCAAAAACAGTACAATTAGTAATATAACTTTACACAAATTCTGCATTTTAGAGTTGTAGGTAGGACAGCATCCTTTAATATTCCTAGTGCTTCTGCATTAGACAAGAGTTGTAGGTAGGACAGCATCCTTTAATATTCCTAGTGCTTCTGCATTAGACAAGAGTTGTAGGTAGGACAGCATCCTTTAATATTCCTAGTGCTTCTGCATTAGACAAGAGTTGTAGGTAGGACAGCATCCTTAAAAATTCCTGGTGCTTGTTAATAAAACAAGAGCCTTGATAATGTAGAATCATCTGGATAAGGTAAAATTTTCTAAGTTCAAAAAGGGCCAAAATTCTGTCAAAATCCAAGTTAGAGTTATGGACCTTGGTCAGTGACCTACTTTTATGCTCTTAAATAAGTGTATGAATTTTCAACCCATTCCCTTCAGTACTTTTGAGACACCTACTTGCTTGCAAACACTTAACCTAATTGTGATGCTAGCGTCTTGGTGAGTACAATAGCTCTCCCTATTCTTAGAATAGTCCAGCTAAGATAAAACGTTTCCATATAAGAATGAGGGTTGGTAGGCTAACTAAAAACAGAACCCTTTCTTCATTTTTTGTGCCAAAATTGAACTAAATACTTTTTGATTTTTTTGTGTGTTTTTTTGTTGTTGTTTTTTTTAAATATTTGCCCATTCTGTAAAGATAAGAATGCATTTCTGTCAGTAAATGTGCTCTAAAATCACTTCATATATTACAATACCTGGGTATTTTAAAATCTTCTGGATTAGTGGGAGGGATCATGCTGTCATCCACAGCTTGGTTCACACTCTCCATTATACTGTAATGCTCTGAAATAGTTAAAATATAAACTTACATATTAAAAAGTGAAAACCTTGAAGATTCTTGGGCAGTGTAACATTTATAGTCCTGTTAACACAACTTTACAGTTTTCCACATAGAAAAAATGAAACAAGAGCACTGCATGCTGTGTTAATACCATTCTGTTAAGAGCAATGACTATTAGTTTTGACAAATATTCTATGTTAAAAAGAGGGATAACTCCAGAAATATATCTTTCGAATTATGCACCTTGTCATGATAAGCAAGTATCCCAAGTTTTATGTTGATTACTTTAAAATGCCTGAATAATGTGCTATATTGAAGTTTAACTTGTGGTTCACTAGACAATGCTACAGGACAAAAACTTAAGCTGTGAGTGCTTTGATTTGGTAGAAGGGGATTTTAAAAGCTTACTTATATGAGATTCTGTAAAATCAAGTGATGCCCCCAATACAAATAACCCAATATACAATGTACATGTATATTATAATAAATCACTGGTAAAAGGGACTTCTGATCTGTAGTCTACAAGTAAAGTAAAAACCTAACACTTACATAATAGACCATAGTGACCTACCTTTTGTTCTTCTCGCAGATCTAGGCGTCTTTCCTCTAGTGCTCCCATGTGTTGTGACACTATCAGACTCTGATGAGTTTGTTCTAAATGGACTGTAAACATATAGCATAAATATCTATAATATACATACCACATTGTCTTCTTTAAGGTATGAGGCCTACCAAATTATATAAACAGGGTTTTCATTTTTATCTTGGGCAAAAAGATGTTCCAAAAAACAATTGATTTTGCAGGGGATCAAGGGTGATATCTTAATGTACAGGCAAAAACAGATTTTAACAGCATTTTAACTAATGATATAGATTGTGAATCTGTTAAAAATGAAAACCCTGTTATACATTTTATATTTAACATAATGTTACTGGAACAATTTCATGTATAAAACATTCATGCTGTAGTTGATCAAAGCATTTTTTTTAATTTAAAGTTTTAAAACTTTTATATATTACTGATACACAGTTTTGAAATTGCTTTGATATTGCAGATGCCATAAAGTTAACATAACTTTATACATGTATTGAAAGGACAAGGTATTGACATTATTATCTAAAATTCCCCAGGTGCATAATTTCATTAGACACCACCCAGTAGGCTGCACTTATAAGACGCACTTATAACTTTTTGGCAAAATATTCATGACCAAAACTGGGACTTATAACTGAGTATGTACAGAATTTTAAAATTTTGTTAAGATCTATTCTGCCAATCAATTCCAGTGATCATAAAAACTTAGATTATAAACTTGGCAATTAATTTAGAATGTAGTTTTTCTGGGATATTAATTTATTATAATAAAATTAATGACCTGGGAGTGTGGTAGGTCTCTTGGTGCAACTGTATTTCTGGACTTAGCTGCTGTGGTATATCCTTTCTTGGTGCCGGGGTATCAATTACATCAGTTGCTGAAATAAAACAAGAGCACAACATGGGGTGATAATGCTTGTTTGTTAAAGACAGTGACTAATTTTAATATTAATTTTTTAAGTTATAAAGGGGTATTACTCCAAAAAATATATATTATGCCCCTTGTCTTAACAACTGCACCTTGTCATGATAAGCAAGTAGTCCAAGTTTCATGTTGATAACTTTTAAAATATTTGAATAAAGGGCTACATTTAAATTTTCTGCATGATAACACTGACATTGCAGGGATCGTAAGAGCTTGACATGAAACAGACATGCAAAAAAGGACTTTATCTTCATGTGTTTATAGTTTTACGAAACATCATAGTCTCATTATTGAAATCTTGTTACATTGTAAAAAGGCAAAATAGAAAGTATATAAACATACATTAAATATTCTTGACTTGAAGACATGATATATCCGCCGTGATTATATCAAACAACATCCAAAGTCACTGATACTCTCTATGTCTAACAATTATAGCACATTTAACTAAGTTTTGTCTAAATTAGTCATTCATTTATTCATTAACCCTTTCCTTCATGAGCATATTGTGAAAAATGGCCTTTTTCATTAAAAAGCCTCCTGTTACAAGTTCAAACTATGAAACTATGAAAAATGCTTCAATACTGATGAAACTTGGCACAAATGGTGACGGACTATAGCCTCTGTAACAGCATTCTCAATCTTAAATTTCCTGTAATATTGGCAACAGGGGGATGTCTCAAAATTGCCAAAATTCACTTTTTTCATTGATTTTTTTCCATCAAAACTGATTTCAAAGTGCTGCAACTTCTCAATGGATTGTTTGTTTTGGGTTTTACAAATAGGGGGAGGGGGGTTCGAAAAGCTGTTAAAACACATGTCTATATGAGGTAAAAGGTTAAAAAGTTCACCTGATTTTTTTATTTGGAACTATAGAATCTTACTATTTAGAACATATCTCTGTAGGAGAGTCCTTGGTGTGTCATAGTCTATATCAACCGTAATATTGCCAGGTCTGACAAGCGAAGATCTTCCACTACTGGATGATGAGGGAGCCGGCTGACTAGATGATGGTCTACCTTGAGATGTCCTACTTGCATATCTCACTAGTGGAGCAGTTGTGTCCTCACTCTCGAGGAATCCTTGAAGCTACAAGGTAACATATCATGATGTAATAGCGAAAATAAATTAGAAACACTCTGCAAAGCAGCACATGAAGTCCCAGTGGGCTGAAGCCATTAGTCCCCACTTGTCAGTAAAAATTCTGTATGATTACTATGAACACAACCACAACACTGCATGATCTCCATATAACAAACTCATTTTTAAGGGAAATATTAACACATTATCACATACAATGTAATAATAATCACATATTCTTATGTTTCAAATAATACATGTTTTAGAGATCCTCATAATCAATATTTTAAAACAAATAATTTTGAATTCTCCATTACTATATCAATAATAATTTTCATCTGACAAAAGTTAAATGCCTATTCTTCATTTTGCTGTAATGTTTCACTAACATTTCTCGAGTACCTAGTGATATCCAATTGAATTACTTACTTAGTATGTAAAAATCTTATTTTAAAAAATCCTGTTACTATAGTATAGCAACCAAAATATTCAATCATGAATGGTATAATTTTTACTTACCATCTGTCTAGGTGTTTCTTCCGCATCATTATTACTGGAGACAGATCTCCTCTTACTTCGTAATGTAGACACTCTGTTATGCTGTGGGCGACTCTTTCCTGCTGAATGTATATATGGCTCAGGGGTTATAGATGTGTATCTTTCTGTTCTACCACGTTGTTCATCACGCTGGGAATGTATGTAAGGTTCAGGTGTCCTAGACAGCCGAGGCCTGATAGACCTTTGATCTGTTGGTGGTGTTCGTATTAGACTTCCATGCTGATTCCTTTGTACTTTAACTGTCTGAGTTTTGGAAGCATCCAGATAATTCTCAAGCAAGGTTCTAGGAGTTTTTGACGACATAGCAATCGTCTAACACCTGTATAATGATAAAAATTAAAAAAATATAGTATTGCAAAATCAGTAGGTGACCACTTAATGATTCTCAGTTCTAGTCTAAATAGTAAAGACTGGATAAAGTATGAATTCACAAAAAGGAAGATTCATTCAAAATCAATAACGGTTGTAATTTTCAAAGTAAACAAATGGTTGCAATTCAGTTTAAATCAATATAGATAGATAAAATAGTGTGTCAAAGTAAAATTATTTTTGTAGATGAATTGATTATCACATCATTCATTCCAAGAGACTTCTAATATATATCATATACTGGTGTGTTCCTTGAAATCAAATGAAAACTTAATTTTCCTTGGTAAAATTACATCAAACTTGCAAGTTAACTTAAACACCACTTCTCACAAAGAAATTCTTCTTGCAAAAATTTTACTATTACTGTACTAATATTTAATCCAACAAAATTGATGGAACAGTACCTCTGTTAGTTGGCTGTGGGTTTTTTGTTTCAATATTAAGTTCCAAAAGATGCGATTAGTCAATTAGAGTGTCAGTAAATTATTATGCAATGTTGAATTATACAAAAACAAAAACTGAGGTGTACTGTCTAGTTAGAAATCCAGGTAATGCTTGTATACATGTGTTAGTGCTATACACTGGGCATGTAAAGAACTTAAGTGGTCTGTCTATTCAGTAAGAGCTAGGGAGTGGTTCCCGGATTCCCTTGTATCTCATAGCTGTCTCTGAATCTAGAGTCATGTCTACATCCGTGCAAAGGGTTTGACATTAATGGACGATAGATAGATAAGTTTTTAGTATTTTAAAATTATTTCTGTTCAGATTTTGTATTTCAATTTCAAAAACCATTATGCATTAATTTTTCAAAAAAATGCATATCTATGAAGAAAGTAAAAATAAATAAATTGAGTATTATAACATGAAAATATTTTTATAACCACTTTCAGGGTTTTACGGGATGCAGAATTCTGCGTCCCTATATGCATAAATTTTGACATGTACGCATATAAGTTATCCACTTTCGTCCAAGTGTACGCACAAAAATAATCCTAGACAATAGATATTATTGTTTCTGACCAGACATGATTTTATCTCTCTCTTCTCAAAGCTCACAAAATTCCAGTTAAAATCTAATACATTGCATTTATGATTTGTTTATTTCGGAAGTTAACATAATTGAAATGCTATTGGCAAGTGCCCACTGCAGAAACTGATGACGTTTACAGTGCAAGCTACTGTAACTAATGACGTTTACCGTAAAATCTATTTTAGGTCGCTGTTTTTGGGTTTTCTTTGGCTATATTTAGATGGACTATTTATAACAGGCAATTACTATTGGTTAGCGTTTCCAATGTCGGCGAATCTATTTTGTACACGAACGGCGATAATAAAAAAGGCAGTGTTTTTTTGCAAACTTATTTTCAAAGTGTTTTAGAAATTAAGTCACTGGGTATGTAATTATCGGTGGTGTTAAAAATATAATGGTTTCGGCGAACTTAACTTATGAGGAGGTGCTCATCGGCCTTGTGTTTTATGATATTTTTTAAAAACACAACATATTTAGCTGATTGGTCTGTAAAGCAAAAATATTTACAAATAGATCAGTACAATTTTCAGTCTGTTGGTGTAATAACCTTATCAATAACAAAATATGCTACTAAAACTTGACATTCCAGCCACTCAAAGACTAAGCCTTGGAAATAGCACATGATAACAGATATTATGGTAAAGGCGCTATAATAAAAACCTAGTGATAACAGATATTGAAATCATATACTACTTATGAAAGCAGAACAATATACATGCATATTTCTTACAAGGTAAATAAATGATTTTAAGCAAAATTGAGTGGTCTTCATAGTCTTTTTTAGCTGTTTAGTGAATATAATTATGGACCCCTAAAATTTAGGCCTGGACCCCTAATTTTCTAAACTGTGCATCCACTGGACCCCTAAAATTTCAAAAATAATCTAAGTTACTAATTAACTTTCCACCAAATCACAGGGGGCCCACACAGTGTTTGAATGGTATATACTGCTTGATAGTGACCTTAAAATGAGATTTTAGTCATAACCTTATAATATGTATATAAATATAGACAAGGGGCATTACTCGCTAAATAGAGAATTTTCGATCACCCTCAAATTCATGCGAGTTTCTATTACCTACCTGCGCAAATAGTCGTGAAGCGCTCTATATTCGTCTGTTTCGAACGAAATCTTCACATCTTGGGGAAACCCTGGTCACGTGACCAGCCGGTGTATCGAGACCTTTCATTGGTTCAGTAGAAACTTTGTTTATAACGACAACCAATGAAAGGTTTCCATACACCATGACCAGAATTTCCAACATGTATTCGCCGAAGCAGATTTCTGCACTGATTTGAAGATTTCGTTCGAAACAGACGAATATAGAGCGCTTCACGACTATTTGCGCAGGTAGGTAATAGAAACTATGTTGTGTTATTGTTTGCATGCGTTTATTTGTACCTACCCCTTTTAAAATTGATATTTTAGCCGTGGAATTTGGTGTTGCGACATCTCGTACGACTAAGCAATTTTGTGACAGAAGTGAACGGTTTTGAATATTTTTTTTTAAATGGGCCAAGGGAATCAGAAAAGAGTTAGTGTTTATCAATTGTGGATTATATAAGCTATGCAACGCAGTATAGTTTTTGGAATTTTTTTATTTAATTAGTGGAAAATCTCGCATGAATTTGAGGGTGATCGAAAATTCTCAATTTAGCGAGTAAAGCCCCTTGTCTATATTTATATACATATTATAAGGTTATGACTAAAATCTCATTTTAAGGTCACTATCAAGCAGTATATACCATCCAAACACTGTGTGGGCCCCCTGTGCACCAAATGGAGCGAATTGTCACAGGACGAATCAGAATTTAGATACAATCATTTTTAGCTGACCTTGTGTTAGAATTACCTCAGACTAGGCCTAACTGTTGATTGTTTCCAAGGTCTATGTCTTATTTTAATTATTTGCAAAACTTATCGGACTAAGACAAAGTTAACAAACCTTTTTTGTTTATTTATTTGATTTTTCCGCCGATGATCTCGGCCATCAGATGCTTGAATTTACGAAACCAGTCTATTTTTTTTATTTAAACCCAAAGAAAGAAAATAACAACAAAGGTTACTTTGAAGAAACCAATTATGAAACAAATAATAAAAAAGATTAAAGATAAAGAAATAACAAGAATAATAACATTGGCTTTTAATTAAACATTTATTTAGAACAGTTAACATACCACAACATTTAATTTCTAAAATTTTAATATCAGAAAAGTAGAGTTTCAGATAAATATCGAAGTTACCTCCCCTTTTCATTATTCGCCATTTGTAGTATGGTGTGTCGATTACAAAAGTAAGGGTTTAAAACATTTAAATTCTTTTATCACCCAGAAGTAATTGATTTAATCCTTTTATCACCCACTATGGAATAGGTGTGGACATAATCATTAAGACAAAAATGTTACACTTTATGACCAGATAATTAATACCCAATCTATACTTATATACGGTATTGCAGTGTTCCCACTAGAATTTAAATTTGAGGGTACATGTACCCCCTAGGTCATATTTTTGGGGGTACACAGAATATTTAGGGGGTACAAACTATAAAGACAAGCAAGTCAGTTAAACACATATCAGTATTTTTATTGAGACATCTTTTCCACAGCTTTCTGAATAACTTCATTAGAATCAAAATCTTGCTGATTGGCAGAAAAGTGTATCATCATTCTATTTTGTACATTTTTAACAGTCCTCCTACTACAGTACCTTGAAATGTGTCTGTTTTGTGATGAGAATCCCCTTTCACAAGGGACAGAAGTTAGAGGGATTGTCAGCAAGATACTAGCCATATTGGCAAACCCTGGGAATGTTTCAGATTGTTTAGTTATAATATCTTTGCATAATTCCTGCAATGATAACTGCCTATTGACATTCAAGAGGTACTTAAACTGAACAAAAGAATGTTTTAATTCTTCTCTGTTGAGAAGATTCCCATAGAAATCAAGGACCCTGTCAAGTTCTACCTCCCCATGGGTGATAATGCCCTCATGGTCACTAGGAAGCAATGCTGGGTTGAGAATAGTATTTAGATCTCTGAGGATTTTCATATCATCAGGGGGAAATCTACTCTCAAATTCTGCCAAAAGATGACCCACAAATGTTCTCCTCAAATTGGCCAATGTTAATCTATCCCTCAAAGAACAAGACAAAGTAATGCCTTGGTAAGTATCAGTATCATCTATGCTGTCAATCAGCTCCTGAACTGAGGGAGATTCAGTAGAACCACTAAGTGCAGAAATAGTAGCTTTTGTAGCAGAGATCATACTATCAACCTGATGTATGTCAATATTATCTTTCTGAAAAAACTTTGACAGCCTGCAAATCCAACTTAGAATATATTTAAGAAGGCATATGGTTGAAATGAAATGGAAAGTTTTGATTTTCCTAAGAATACCCTTACTTTTGTTACCTCCCTCAAATTGGGGGATGGTTGCACACTCATGTTCTAACCCTAACACCAAAGCTGACCAACTTGAATGTACAGCTTTAATGGAATTCTGTAGTGATAACCACCTAACCTGAGTAGGCTTCTTAAACCTTTTCACTTGGTCACCAATTATTTTTTTTAATTCTCTAATTTTGTTGTACCTGGGTGCTGAAAACTCATAAAAATTGTAAATATTAACAAGAGTTTCTTGTACATTCTGCAGATAAGGGACTCTTTTAGCTGCCCAGTATGATACAAATGTTAATTATTCTGGGGTTGTCAGCCTTTAATTTTACACCAACCCCAGCTTTCTTCCCTGTCATTACTGAAGCACCATCACTTCCAAACCCTGATACTTTGTCAACATTTACACCTACAGAACCAAGCCAGTTTATAATTTCCTTATATACAGTTTCTGCTTTGCCATCAACAATGTCAACATTTGCACAAAACTCTAACTTAAGTTCACCATTATGAATGATTTTTGCAAACATTACAAGTTTTTTTGTGGTCGTTATGTCTAAAGATTCGTCCACCATAATGCCAATATATGGGCTGTTTTTAATCCGGATAAGAGCCATTTCCTGTAGGACATCAGCCAGGTACTGTTGCATATGCATGACTGCTTGGTGGTTCCTTAAAATTCCTGAAGGTTTTCTATTACCAAGATCAGGATCAGTGGTTTCTTTTACAGATGAATTATAGAAGATGTGTGCATTGGATATCTGCAGTGAAAATTAAAAATACATTTTAAAAATAGTAATGATATGGTGTACAGTTGCCTAATAGTGGATTTTTTTATATATTTTATAGAATAGAGATAATTAGATTTCAATGCTTAGTGATTTTTTTTCACATGTATTTTTAGCATGCGAAGATTTATTTTCTGAAAAATTATTTAAAAACAAACGATTACTGATTAAAGTTTTAACAATAGTTCTTTTTTTATAATTTTTCTGTGATTTTTTTAGCTTTTGTAGGGATTTGAAATCTATCAGCATGTTATTTTGAGTAAAAAAAATCTACCTGCAAATCAATCGAACTCAGAAACTTTCTGTTGGCAATAGTTTCTTTAGCCATATACAATGCGGTCCTGAGCTGTGCCTCTAAGATTGGTTCATATTTTTTCTGAACTATTTTTACAGCAGCAGTCATGTAAGATTGTTGCTTTTTGGCGTTGCATGTAGTGTTGTCCCGATTGTCTCTGAAAATCGATAACTAATCGGACCACCCCAAAATCGGCAACAATCGATAGTCATTTTTAACAATCGATTATTTTAATGTTCTACCACCGCTGAATTGCTTAGGGCGTAACTTTTTTACACACAGTCAAATAGAAGTTTACCGACCAAATCTCTTTAATTCCAGAGGATCCTATAGTCTTTTTTGTTTGCCTTATCAAAAAGATATACAGAAAAAACATGGCTAGTGAATAAGTGGGCAATTTGAACGACTTTGTTTCCTGAACACCAAAGCAAATTCATCTTTGCCTCTCACAAAGTAGTATTAGGTATTTGTGTTGTTTGTTTTGAATTCAAAGAGTAAATCTTACTTTAATCAAGGAGACAAGAGCTTATTTATTCTCAAAATATGGTCACTACTGTATAAAAAATACATACAAGGATTGGTACCTTAAAAGAAAAAGGGCCAAAAAAAATGCAAAACTCGATTATACTATCGGAAGACAATCGATTGTGGTGATCCGATTATCGATAGTGATTTTTGAGTCCGATACCCAACACTAGTTGCATGACACATTATGATCGTCGCATTTCTGGTGTCTAACTAATGCTGACCGCTGGAAATTATTAGTCCCAATTGTAAACGCCGATTTCAGACACTTTTTAGTGTTTTTTTCATATGTCTCGCATGTTAAACAAAACATTTTCCCATTGTCTTTGTCAAATCTAAGCCATGAAAATTCGGACAACCAGGAGTTCTGAAATCGTTTGCAATGTTTCTTTTTCGGGGGTTCAACACTATTTTCACTAGGGCCTGGTTCTTGATTTGCGCTAGAGGATTGAGTAAGGGTCGGCGATTTTTCGCTGGAATCGCTTTTATGGAACCATTCACTTAAATTGCGTTGCATTTTCAATAACTTTTCCGGCGATTTTTTAATATTTCAGACGGCTTATTTGTATCACCCGGATGTAGACTTGTTACTGCTTTTAATATAGAGCGTCGCGAAGCGTCGTTAATTATTATAAACCAGTCCATGAGCTAAAAATAGAACAGCTGGGAAACCCGAGTTATGACCTCAGTTATGACTGATGGGATTAAATTACGGTCTTGTAAACAATTTCAGAGATTTATGAGTAGATTATTGATTTGTGCTTCGAATTTACGGATAATTTTTTGGCAGTTTTACTTTATTTTTTATACGTGCATGCACGCACCTAGCTGTAATTTCATGCGTGATTTTTGTAAATTATGCGTGATTCACGTACATTTGTGCGTGAATGGGAACACTGGTATTGTCTGCAAAATCTATAGTCCTAATTATAAGACCTATACGTAACCTATTTCATATTTATCATTCATTAATCTGACATTTTACATTTTTCATTTTCCATATTACGTTAGGTCTTAACAGATCTTTGCAAAATCGTGTAGCAAAAAAATTGACATTAGACATCGATTTAGATCTAATGCATTTAAACAATTAAGACAGCGTGTATTTACATTAATTTTGACCTATTTATGAACAAAACTAAAAAATAAATACCTTTTAACAAAATAATTAAACTGTCAGATCCGAAAAGTCATGATTAAATCCTCTCATTTAATTAAATTCCTTGTACAGCCAATATACAAATGGCCGCCATACAGTGCGCGAAATCTGATTTGCTAATTCAAATGCAAGCGTTTAAATGAGTCCAGAAGTTTCTGACGGAATATTTTTTCAACGAAATAATTTCCCGTGCACCGTCAGTGTGAAAGCAGTGTGCTTGAAAGGCAAGTCAACAGACATTTTTTTAATTTTTCAAAATGCTACACGTTTATGAGCAATAACTATTAGACGTCAGGCTTGACCAACATAAAACTATAACAAGCCTGTAACGTCTAATATATTGGACTACAAAATCTAAATCCCATTTTTTATTAGATTATTCTAAACCCAAAAGTTGCAATAGTTCTACTATTGGAATACCTTGCAAATTATCATTGAGTTACATTAAAAATTGCAGTGCCATTAAAAATTGTGGTGATTAACTTCAGTCCAGAATTTCACTGGTCATACATTTAATAATTATGTTCATAGTTTAAGCTTTCTTTTTTTATTCCCTCAAATGTATCAATCAAATTCTCAAGATTGTCATTTGTCAGTTCATTATTTTGTTTGGTACTGAAAAGCAATCCTGCCATTAAAGTGTCATACAGTAAGGGATATATTAGTCCTTCATTGAATGACATCGCATTTTCGTTTTTTTACAGTTTGACGTAATCGGAAAATGCGAAGTCTTTCCATAACTGGCTAATTTCCCATAGCACAAATCGACACGATTCTCGAGTCAATTTGAATTTACCGGTAAATCACAACTTAAATGCTATTTATCTCAAAAAGCAATTGATTGCATAAAAGACGGAAGCATATTTTCCCAAAAACTTTAAAAATATGCAAAAATTACTCATGTCAGATAAGTAGTTTATTTATCCATATATTTAAGAAGACACATGAAAGACATTTTGTGTTGACCCCCATATTGAAAATTCCTGGACATGCTGTGACGTCACTCAAAAAACAATAGTACGAAATTTAAGTGTGAACAAAAAAAATTTCTGTTGTGATGTAAAACGCTGACAGGTGCACGCAGTAAAAATTTCGTTTAAAAAATGTGGTTCCAGTAAACACCGCATTGCGTAGTAGACACCAATATGGAGGCTGTTTACACGAATTCTACACATGATTTGTTTAAAGTTACATTAAATAAATTTCATCAAAAAAGAAATAGCAACATTTCATTAATAAATTGGGTTTCATATCGACTCCAGATCTTATTTTGGTGTCCAGACAACCAAAATGAGTTTAATGAGCATACAAATGTGCAACCTCATTGTGGCGAATTCGGAAGTACAATTTCTGTTTGCATGAGAAACTCCGCCTTCAGATCATCCGTACATCAATATTAAATCAACAAACATGACAATAAGTAGCAGTCCTTATTTAACGGTATATTTCCGCATTGTAACGGATATTTTCATACAAATTTAATCTTTTTTATGAGATGATTACTTTTTTCTTAACCACAGGCCTAGTGCACCGTGAAGCTTAAACGGTAAAAGTGTGTTTGCACAAGAAAATCTTATATTTGCTGTGTTCCGGGTAGCAACTATAACACCGTGACGTAGCGCATACACGAGCTGATTATAGTCTTCATTTGCATGTTAAAATTCGTATACGAACTTTAGTGTTACCGTGGGGTTTTCCATTTAAAATCCTAATTTATGAACAATATTTGATGAGATTTACAACGATACTGTTAAAGAGGTTAATGAAACTGTAGAATGCTTGGTTTTTAGGCTGACGGCAAAAATATTTTAACATATTTAGTTAATGTAGCTTTAAAATTGTTTTGTTTAAAATTTGAATAAGTTGTTTTTGAGTAGCAAAATACACATTTTTGGTAGGATTATGAATACCAAGCATTATTTGTAACATTTTACATAGGGAGTTTGAATGATTGTGCATGTTTATTGCTTTTCATTTTGCTATGGACTTTTAAATAGATATCTTGAGACGTTAAAGCGGATTTGACACATGTAAAAAATAGCTTCAAATCCGCGGTTACGTCTAATTATTTGGACAAGGGATATATTTGTATAGCGTGACAATTTTTTAAAGTGATTTATGTAGCATTTAAGTGCCATTTTCTAGCATAGATAACTTTATTTGTTTATTCAAGACAATATTAATTTCTACTAAATGTATGTTTTGTCATTGTAGGTCACTCACACTGAAATGACTGAATAACTGGACAGATGATGGCAGAGGATACAGCCACTATAATTCCAGACCCATCCTCGGTGATTTCAGCTTTACAAATCCTTACAACAGCAAAACCAGGCAACGATGGGAGAAATCCTGGTAAAAAATTATAAAAATTAACAAATTTATCAGCTCATGTTTAATTTTTTTTTATCATCATCATTTTCTTTTTAGCAATGTTGTACAAATTTTTATGTAAAATGTTGTTAGGATGTTTGTAAAGACTTATCAGTGTTCATAGTTTTACAATCTTTGGATACAACAAGTTGTTACAAGTATTATCTGATTAGTTTACAAAAAACAAACGCAGTTAATTTTGTTCATTCATAATATAATGACAATACAGGTAATTTTGTGTGTCTACAATATAATCGAAAATTTGCCATTTCCAAGATTTATATACCATTTGATGTAGGTCTGGGTATTTAACTTGTGTGCAAATTTTTAGGTCATTCTCTCACCCCATTTTCAAAATGTGCAAAATGATCTAAAAATGTAAAGCTTGTCACTCTGCACAGAAAGTCCTTATTCAGTTTAAGTCTGAGTGTATTTCTTTATTACCCTTTGCAGACTTTTCCATTTTAAGTCAGTGCTTTACTTGATTTAAGTATAAACTTCAAATTTTATGTATCAAAGCTTTTTGACCTCAGTGGAGCTCCTGTAATGATAAAAAAAAAATACTAAATGCATATCATAGTAAAATATAATCATACATGTATTCTTTTTCAGGCTCAAATGCAGTTTTCAAATTAGATGAAATTCTGTTAGCCAACACAAGAAAGCTTGAAACTGCATTGAAATCAGATACCAAATATGAGAAGTTATATAGCAGATGGACGTCTGATACAGTTGTTGTTATACCTACAGAATGCTCTTCAAGATGGAGATTTGTTTTGCACTGTTTAAAAACTCTTCACCTTCTTCAAGCGTCTTTACAAGAAAGCCAGGAGAATTTCATTAAAACAATTGTGACGGGGGCGAAAGAAACAAAGCCTCATGAAATGACACCCGACACGCTGAGTTTCAACGAGCAAAAAGTTGTCAAGGGTGCGTTACAGTTCGTAATATGTTTGGGCATTTGTCCAAATTTACACAAAGGCGTGGGTTTACCTTTAGAGTTAAGGTCGGGATTCAGTGCTCTCGTAAATATGGTCGAGGACAAGGGAAACATGTCCGAGCATGAGAAAAATGTTCAGTTGTTTTGTTGTGTAAAAGTTTTGATGTCATGTGTGAAATGTCCGGCACTTGGCACACTGATCCTTACTCAACACCTTGTCGATATTCTAGCTGCCTTGTTTCAGCTTACACATATAGGGAATCAACAAAAACGTAATGAGTTACAAAAGACAGTGAAGACTGACACAGCTGTTAATGTAGATTGTATGAAACGTGAAATATCTAAGGAGTCGGAAGAAAATTTAGTAGAAGAACATTCATTGCATGATATGAGTCCAGCAAAAATGGTCGATTTTGTAAGGTCAAGGTTTGAAGAAAACACCGTCACTGATGTACATGAAATGAAAAGGAAAGTCAATGAAAAGTCTGGACTGCTTAATGAAAGCCATGATGATAAACGTACATCAGAGGGATCTGAAGCCAAGTTTAATCAGATTAATTATAAGTATTGTGAAAAGTGTCTCGAAGATTTGCTTGGGAAGATATACCCACCTTTATTAGTAAAGACACTTTTGCTACTACAAGGGGGACCTAAAACCAAGGTATTGCTATGTTTTATTTATGCCATAAGTAGGACATTTGCATATATTTCATTTTCCAAACTTGATACATTTCTATTTATAGAAATATCTTTGAAGACCTATGAATTCAATTTCTATGCCTAAACTTCATATGATAACACTTAATGATATTGTATTGATCTTTTCAGAGGAAACCTAATATGACAAAAAGGTCATGCCAGTTTAAGCCTTTATTCTTAGTAGGATTTAAGAAAGGCTATATGAGGAAAGTTCTATAATTAAGCAAAACTGTTGTCATTACCAAAGAATGCCTTGTTTCATCTTTTGATTATGTATTGTTTTGATCCTATAGCTTTACTACAGATAAAATTATTTAGATCTTAGAATGCATCTGCAGTATAACCTTTGCAGAGTAACACCCTTTGGGAGACAAATATTTTGGTTGTTGCTAAGAGGTGTTGCTCTACAGAGGTGAAATGTAGTGGAAATCTTAATTTTTGGAAAAAAATAATATTTTTCCCTTTCAAATTTGGGGTAAAAGGGGAAATTAGTTGTAGAAAAATGGGGGTTTTTTTGAAAAGGGTTTAATTTCCCCCAGCAAAAAAAAACTTTAACATAAATAGCTTCAAGGGTGCATACATCACAAAATACGTCAACCGGGTTTGCCTTATTGTCAAAGTTTGTAACTAAAATTTGGAAATTGTACCCCTAATTAGCTGGAAAAAAAACACAAAATGTTCTTAATTCTGGAGTAAGTCTATAATTCTGGAGTAAGTATACAATTCTAAAGTAAGTCTACAATTCTAAAGTAAGTCTATAATTCCGGAGTAAGTCTATAATTCTAAAGTAAGTCTATAATTCCGGAGTAAGTCTATAATTCTAAAGTAAGTCTATAATTCTATTTGAGTAAGTCTATAATTTAATTGCTCTTCATAGTGTTGCTCTGCAGTGGTTATACTGTATTTGTATTTGAGTTGCTTCTACACTTTACTTTAGATCTAGATCATCCTGAATTCAGGATAATTTTATTAGTCCCCTACCGGTTTACCGGAGGGGACTTTAGGTTTACCCTCCGTCCGTCTGTCCGTCCGTCTGTCTGTCAGTCCGTCAGTCCGTCCGTCCACAAAACTGGATCCCGCGATAACTTGAAAAGTACTGAAAATATTTTTATGAAACTTGGTATATGGATAGATGGCAGTATGGAGATTATGCACGTCTTTTTCTTTTCTTCCTATGTTGAAAATTCTGGTTGCTATGGCAACAAATAGGCTAAAAATATGGCATATTTTACACATAAACTGGATCCAGTGATAACGCAAAAAGTACTGGAAATATTTTTATGAAACTTGACATATGGGTAGATGGCAGTCTTGGAATTATGCACGTCTTTTTCTTTTCTTCCTATGTTGAAAATTTTGGTTGCTATGTCAACAAATAGGCTGAAAATATGGCAAATTTTACACATAAACTGGATCCAGTGATAAAGCAAAAAGTACTGGAAATATTTTTATGAAACTTGACATATGGGTAGATGGCAGTCTTGAGATTATGCACGTCTTTTTCTTTTCTTCCTATGTTGAAAATTCTGGTTGCTATGGCAACACATAGACTGAAAATATGGCAAATTTTACACATAAACTGAATCCAGTGATACATTTTGTAACTCAAAAAGTACTGGAAATATTTTTATTAAACTTGACATATGGGTAGATAGCAGTCTTGAGATTATGCATGTCTTATCTGTTCTTCCTATTTTGAAAAAATATCAGTTGCCTTGGCAACAAATAGGCTTAAAACATGGCAAATATAACAATATTTGTGATTAGTCAAAAAGAGCTGAAAATTATTATGAAATTGCATCTTTAATTCAAGAGTTATCTCCTCTTTAAGAATTTTGCTTTTAAAATGTTATATTTTGGTAACAGGGATGTTTCAAATATTAACTTTAGAGTGTCCTTGACAGTCCGTCTGTCTGTCTGTACATAAAAACCGTTTCCTGTGATCACTTTTAAAGAACTTTTCCAACAAGTTTACTTAAAATAGAGAAAAATTGAAACATAAGTGAATGGCCAATGGCCCTTCAGAATGTTGATGGGGTTCTAACCGGTAGGGGACTTATGGATTGCTTGCAATACTATGATAATTGCTTGTTTTGAATAAGCACTGTTTGTATGTACATGATCATGTATTATTTTGTGTTATAGGTACGAACCTGTCAGAATGCACCCGTATTACAGCAGGCACCTCCGTGGTTAAGACAGGAATGTGGCAGAAGACTGACAGCTGTTATTATAATGCCTAAAGGTGTACAAAGTGTTCTTAGGGGAATGTTAGATTCTCCAGGGATGGCAAAAGGTATCTTATTGTGATGATTGACATGATTCCTTTGAGATGAAAAAGTGAAATTATGAGAAGCAGAATCCCCTTGTGGCTGAGGTGTTGCCTCTAAGAGTTTAGGTTGCATAAGAATTGCCACCACTGTGTATCACTGAGTAATTGTAAGAGGCGTCTGAATGGGGTCAAATTAATGGAGTGACCAAGTCTATCCACCTCTTAGCTCCAGCATTTGAGGTGGTTTTGACCCCTGGTGTTGCTTTAAGTTTGTAACACCTAAGTTTAGCCAAAATCATCTTACCTGTTTTGGCGCAATGTGACCTGAATTGTGTTGGTGTGCCATAAAATTAAACAAACAATGAGGAGCAGAATGATTAGGATCGCTGACTTTTGGGTCAGAAGCCTGTAAAGGCTTTGGGTTTGAATTCTTAAATTTTAGGTCAAGTTCTTCTCAAGTGTTTGCTTATACCCGAATTGAAAGGCCCCAGAAGAAAAAATTGATTTTTGAAAAATTTTAAAGTCTTCTTAAAGGGAAAATAAATTGGGTTTTGCCCCCCCAAATTAGGGATGGGGGGTTTTTCCCCTTTTCAGTCTGGGCCCCACCCGTCCATCCCCAAAACAGACAAAAAAAGTTTAAGTGAGGGCAACCCTGTCCTATAAAAACATTTCTAATTTTTTTTTCATTGAAATTTTGCTTTTTAAAAAAAATGTTATTTTTATATTTATAAATTTAAAAAAATTTTGTTTTTCAAGATAGAAAATGGAACCAAAAAATCACAGTCTTAAATTTTAAAACTCCATATTCGTCTCAGTGTTGAAAGTTAATTGTATTATTATGTTTATTATTTGGGGCCCCATCACATCAAAAACCCAAAAACCAAAAGCATTTGCGCCAGCATGGATCCAGACCAGACTGCGCATCCGCGAAGTCTGATCAGGATCCATGCTGTTCGCTATCAGTTTCTCTACTTTTCTCAGACTGCGGGGATGCGCAGGCTGGTCTAGATCCATGCTGGTCGCAAACGCATTGTGTTGGTTTTGTCGTGACGTGGCTCATTTGTAACAATTACTCTCTCTACACAGGCATGTCAGAAGCTGATGATTGGAGGAAATGTGATGCTGTTGCCAAGGTGATTGCTTGTTGTCCACTTCAGTCAGTTTCTGTAGATGAATATTACAAGAAAACGGCCCCTCAGGTTTGTTAAGATTCTTCAGTTGAGTTTGGTTAAATCTATAATGTATACATTGTATACATGTATATAGAGGGAGAAATAAAAGAAAGGCTGGAGTGCCCATAACTTTTGGGTGGCCCTTTTTTCCTAGATGTTGTTCATGATAAATCATATTTGACTACTTTTTATGATAAAATAATTGTTGACTACAGATCATCTGTACTTAGAGACCATCTTAGGTATTTCAGGGAAGTGTCTGAATACATGTACATAATCTCAATACATAGAAGGGAAAGATGACTTATCCAAATGTTTACTGGCCAAATATATAAATATTTATTTCACATTTTCTTGTGTGTTGACATAACACTTTAAAAACTTCATTTATTTGGGGAAAAAGCTGCATTTGCCTGTGAGTGAAAAGAAGTCTATTTCTTATGAGATACAGTTGGGGTTTTCTAAACCATTGTTGGAAAATTAAATGAATTCTGAAGGTTGCTTTAGAAATTCTGGTACAAACCAGTTTCTATTTGATCTTTTGGTGACTTATTTGTTTATCTCAATTTATCATTATCTCGACTTTCATTTGATGGTGCCAGCGACTTTGAAATAATGAGAGTTGACTGTATTGGTACACTATATTTTATTTCTCTGCTGTCTGTTTTAGATACTGGAATTACTACATATAAAGGACAAACAAGTAAACAGACAATTTCTGAGAGTTGCTTGCACCACTATATCAACCATGGCAACACAACAACCCTCTCTCACAAAGAAATATTTGATAGAACCAATGTTGAAGCCTCTTTTGAAATGCTTAGACACAGAAGGTAAGGTTCACAGATATCTTGTTGATATGCAGTAACATTATTTATCACATACCTGTGCCGCTTTTGTGACTCCATTAAAACAGTATTGCACAGCTGTGCATATATTTCAATGTGATATCATTTGCGTTATACAAGCATACCATAAAGATGCTCTAAATGTTAACTTTATACTATATATAAACGCATTTATGAAAAAAGATTTATTTTATCTGTAAACACTTTATTTGCATATGTGATACATAAAATAGCTTCAGCACTAGATTTATTGAAATAATACATTTGTATTACACTTGCTAGAGGCTCAAATAATATAATTTTATTCAACTCGTACAATCAATTCAGTATTGAATCTACACTCATTCAATATATTCTATTTAAGCTCACCTAAAAACAAAAGTTTATAAGTTAATGTTAGTTTGAATATAGAAATCAACTCCAGTTTCAATTTTAAAATGTATTGTTTTATTTTTATGCCCCCGACATATAGTAATTGAACCGTCCGTCCGTCTGTCCGCACAAACCAGAGCTACATTATGGGGTTTGGTCTATTGTTCTCATAACAATAGATGTCTTTGATGTCATTTATTCCATTTCTCTTGTGGGGTTATTTTTTGCATTGTGGGGTTAAAAAGAACAAAAGAAATAACAAAAGAAAACCCCATAATGTAGCTCTGGTAAGAACAACCGTACAAGGTTAAACTAGAACGGCAAGTTGGATTTTTCTTAAGTTCTATCTGTACCAATGGCTTCATAATTTACACACTTACTAATCCATACAAAGTATATGATCTGGACAAGTTAAATAACTCTAGCTTCCATTTGCACCAAGTTATGGCCCTTTTCAGCACTTAGAAAATGAATAATGGTTAACCTAAACCGGCAAGTTGGAAATATCTTATGTTCTATCTGAACTAATGGCCTTAATATAATTTTCACACTTACTTATTAATACAATGTACATGATATTGCCAAGTTATATAAATGTGCCATCCATTTTCCCAGTAATTTAACTTTTTATCACTTTGAAAATAGGGCCATGTATGGTTAACCTATTCCGCCAAGTTGGATTTATCAAAAAATTTCACCTAATTACTTAATTTATTTAATGATATCTTTCATATTTGGTAGGTGGATACCTTTAACGGTCCTCTAATTTTTTTGTGGCGTTAAGCTCTCTTAGGTCAAGGTCAAGGTCACTTGTGTAAAAAAATAAATCTAAACATTTCTTCTCATACAGCCTTTCTTTTTTAAGTTAATGTCTTTTCATGTTTATAATAGTCATATACCAAGGGGGTCCTCTTCCTTTTCCTGTAGTAAGGGGTCATTTGGGTCAAGGTCACCAATGTCAAAAAATAGATTTTTTACACTTTTACAGGTGTATTAATCCTAATTCTATCGACAGATGTCTTGTATATTTTGTAGGAACATAAAATTGAGGTATTCTCATTTGGATGGAGGTAGGGGTCAGTTGGGTCAAGGTCAACAGTGCTAAAAAAAGATTTTTACAACTTTTGCCCATACAGCCTTTATATCATTGACAGATTTATTTCATATTTGGTAGGAAATAAAGTTGCATGACTTTCTTCCTTTGGATGGAGTTAGGGGTCAGTTGGGTCAAGGTCACCAGTGCTAAAAATATATTTTTTACACTTTTGCCCATACAGCCTTTATTTATTGACAGATTTATTTCATATTTGGTAGGAAAATAACTTGCATGATATTCTTCCTTTTGATAGAGGTAGAGGTCAGTTGGTCAAGGTCAATTGTCATAAAAGTGGTGAAATGTAAACAAAGTAGAATTTTGTCTTCCATACAAATTAGCTACTTCACTCTCTAAAGTTAAATTATTGACAACAGTGAGCGCGGGGCATTTGTGTTTATCAAACACAGATTCTTGTTTTTTAAAAGTAAACAACGTTTCGACTCAAAAGTCTTCGTCAGGTAAACTTGTTTATAGGAATTGCCTATAGAAATTATAAATCATATTTATAGGAATTGATGTTACAATGGCAACCAGTGATTATACTGTGGTAGAGGAGTCACAGCTTACACAGTGTTTGGAAGATTGCCATAAGGTAAAATTTTTTAACACTATGTCAAGCTTATAAAAGGAGACAACTTTATAATTTAGTGAATAAACTATAGTGCACCCTCCACACAGTGGTTCTCTGAAGAGCAATTACCTCTTAACAACAACATTCTCAGTTTTTCTCGAAGTAAGACTTTACAATAGATTTAACCTCTAGAGCAATGCCTCTTGGCAACAACTAAAATGTGTAGCTGCGTGGCCGAAAGGTTAACATGTCAGATTAGTAATTCTATAAGGATTGCTGGCCGCGTGTGTTCAAACCCAGTCAGTCAGGGGTTTATGTAAACAAGAAACTTTACACGCATTGTTTAGTACTGGTTAGTTCCAGAACGGATTCTAGAGTGTTTCAATAAGCTTATAGCTTCAAACACAATAGAGCTAAAATAAATTTGTATAAACTAAACTAACAATTAAAATTTACATCTCCCAAAGAGTGTTGCTCTGCAGTGTTTGTACAGAACTTATTGTGATTTTTTTTGTTTGTTTGAAAATGAATACTCATAAAAAAAAATTTTTAATAGTGTGAGTTACAGGGCTTTCATTATTAATAGATTGGCGATCCACATTATCGGTCAAAATGCTGTTAAAATCGATTGTATTTTCAGCATGTAGATCAAAATATCCGCCTTGACTCTTGGCTAAATCAGTTTTTCTTTGGCACATCTGTTGCCTCAAATAAAAATGATAATCTTGAAATTATAAGATTTTACTTAAAGGTTTGTGTTTGTATTTCAGGTTTTTGTCTGTGGAAATGTTGGTAATCCACAATTAGTTATGTACATACAGCCAGTGGTTCTCACATTGTTCACATTATACGTTTTCATGAAGCCTGGAGTATCTGCTTTAAAGTAAGTGATGCTTTATAATTCTTGCTGCTAATTCAAGTTTATTTGGTGTCAGTATGTGACTCTCTGCTTTTCCAGGTATTCAATGAATGCTTTTCCAGGTATTAAATTAATACTTTGGGTTTTAAGAATGCTATAAACATTCAATGTTGCTTAGCATAATAATTGAGATATTCCTATGACGAAGAATGGTTCTGTAAATTGTTAACTTATTTCTAATTATACAATGTAGCAAGGAAGGCAACTCTGGCAAAAAGTGCTAAATATAGCAAGAAACATTCTGACAACAAGTGCTAAATACTTGAAAAGCAAGGAGAGCTACTCCAGTGTAAATTATTGCAAGACACATTATTCTGGCAACAAGTGCTAAATATAGCAAGAAACATTATTCTGGCAACAAATGCCAAATATAGCAACAGAGGTTATTCTGGCAACTTAAATGCTTAATATAGCAAGGAATGTTATTCTTGGAAAAGTCACTTACTAAAGCTAGATGCAGCTGAAGTCTAAGAAGTTATTATGTCAAGCAAGTTTTGAAAGAAAAGCTAATCCTTAAATCTGTTGATTTGTCTATAAATTTGTAAGATCAGTGAATTATATGAGTACTTAATGCATGCAATGATGTGTAAATCATGCTTAGAAATAGGTTGTTATATTAGGCACAAAGTAGCAACATTTTTGATAGGAAAGATAGTAAGATTTTTCTAAAGGCCAGAGTATGATGAGAATGATAGTCAGTTTTTTTGTGTTTTATAATTTCAGGACAGCTTGTCAGGAATTGATAGTTGCCTTCTTTAAACAAGCAGACTTAACTGTAACATTGACATGTTTGCAGTTAATGGCTTTCCAGCAAGCAGAATGTCAGAATGAGGCTGAGATTCCCAGATTGCATCCCTGCCTGAAATTTGCTAATGGAAATAATGGTGGAATTATGGTTCAAACAAATTTTAATGAAAAGTGAGGACACAATTTGAAAACAAATTAAAATATGATGGTTATAATTTGCGAAATAGGTTTAAGCTACTTAATATTAACCCTTAGTCTGCTTGCGGCAATAGATGCTACCCATGTGACTAGTGCAGACCAAGTTAAGCTAGACCAACTTTGTCATCTGATCATGGTCTGCACCGTTCACTAACCAATCTATATTTTTATGCCCCCACAATGTTGGAGCATATAGCATTGCACTTGTGCGTCCGCCTGTCCGTCTGTCCGTCCCGAAATCTTGTGAACGCAACTCCTCTTAAACCGGATGGCAGATTTTGCTTAAACTTTCAGGGATGAACAACCTTAATGTGTAGATGGTAGTAAAGGAAGGAATTTTTGCTGCGACCAAATTTAACAGAATTATGGCCCTTTGTTGATTTTTTCACTATATACTATGTAGAAATTTTGTGAACGCAATTCCTCTTAAACCGGATGGCAGATTTTGCTTAAACTTCCAGGGATGAACAACCTTAATGTGTAGATGGTAGTAAAGGAAGGAATTTTTGCTGCGACCAAATTTAACAGAATTATGGCCCTTTGTTGATTTTTTCACTATATACTATGTAGAAATTTTGTGAACGCAACTCCTCTTTAACCAGATGGCAGTTTTTGCTTAAACTTACAGGGATTAACAACCTTAATGTGTAGATGGAAGTAAAGGAAGGAATTTTGCTGCGACCAAATTTAACAGAATTATGGCCCTTTGTTGATTTTTAGTTTTCAACTTGTGGCACATGTAGTCCAAAAAATATTTGACTTAGAGTCATAAGATTGACAGAACAGTGGCGTGTGGGGGCATCCGTGTCCTATGGACACATTTCTAGTTTTAATTTTCCTGAAAATGATGAATAGTTTTGTCCAGACTGAAAGATGGACAAGTCCATTTAAGATGTTTAGCATGAGACGGGTTTACTATGAATAGTAACTGTGCTAAGTCTGCCAAGGTTAATAAAATAGCTGGAGCTGAATGTCAGTGTTTTCATGCTTTAATGGTAAAATGTTCATAGTCATAATGACAATTTGTATGTATCTGACAAGTTCAATACTTAATTTTTAAAGTGAAATAATGGGCAGAGTATAAACATTTTACCTGTTGAGACCAGGTTAATGCTGGTTTGGCCAAATTTTGCTTCCATATATATGTATACACTGGTACTGGAAACAGGATTCATTATTTTAATTGAAAAACTGTCGAAAACAGCAATAAACTTATGGTAACTCAAGTGAAATATATGATTTTGTTTCAGTCAAAGTGAAAGTACCCAAGAAGTGAATGTAGAATGTATAGTTGCACTGTTGAAAGATTTACAGAATACAAGTATTCCTGGAGAGTTTCTTGTTTTCATGCTGAAGGTAAGGTTACAGTGGATAATATTTGTTTTAGATTGTTTTATATCCATTGATACATGTATAATGTTTGCTAGAGTTTGTACTGTTGCAATGAAAAAGTGTTAATAAAAAAGCTCTTAGAAACTCTTTGTATGTTACTAAAGTAGCTGACAATTAATGTATTACCAGAAATTTTGTTTCTAATGGTCACATGTAAATCCAATTTTTCTGATAAATTTTTCTGATAATTACATTTTTGTTTTGTGATGTGAAGCACTGACAGTCCGATACTGTAAAAATCATATGGCAACTGTCCACCTATGCAGGTGAATGAAAACTATGGGTACCTTTTTTGCTACATTTAAAGCCTTTTAGGCATGAGTAGGTATTTGAGTAAAATCTCCAACTTTCTAAAAGCTAGATAGAAATCTTCTTCACATGGAAGAATCAAAAGTGCCTACAGGGATTTGAACTCACAGCAATGAGGGGGGAAGTAGTTTTAAATCAGAAGCATTAAACACTAGGCGATGGCTTCCTTTAATACTGGGTACACAATATTATGAAATGATGACATGAGCTTGCACTTACTTCTAGGAGTTGACACAGTTCATTAAGATTGAAGTGGATGGGGATGAAATTGAAGATCAAGCTTCTACTCAATCTGATGATAATCAAGCACTTATTGACATTGAGCAGAGGAACCAGTCCAAAATAGACCAGTTTCACAGGAAGTTGACATTACTGAATATCCTGGCAGCAGTCTGTGAAACTGTTGGACCAGAATGTATCAAAAATGCTAAACATACATTAGAATTTGTAAAGGTAGGTAGATAATCTATGCATAATACAATTTCAGATATATATTGAATGATGAATAAGTTTTATTTTCTTATGTTAATGAATGAATTTATGATAACCAGACATAGATCCAGCAGACATAGTAACTTTTCATTAAAGTATGGCTAAAGTTTGACAGAAATCTAGTATGCTCTTTTCATGCTGCCAAAGTGAGGGTATATAGTTTTTAAATTGTCAGTTTCTTGTCCGGTCTATAACTTTGTCATTCATGGGAGGACATTGAAATAATATTGCATAATTGTATGGTACATTAAGATGTTGTGTCACATGATAGACTCACGTTTGTAAGTCAAAGGTCAAGGTCACATTTGAATTTGAAAAGAATTTTTTTCTAAAAAAGCATTGATGCTTGTGGCAAGTCAACAATTCTGTCATTCATGAAAGGATTTTAATATAAAGTGGCATAAATGCTTGGATGTGGTGACTGACATCATGTCACATGCAATAATAACATCTTCAAAGGTCAAGGTCACATTTGTTTGATAAATTATTCATAAAAGTACATGGATGTTTGTGTGTTCTGTCAGTAATACTGACCGCCTCCGTGGTCAAGGGGTTAGAGTCGATGACTTCTAATCCAGTTACCTCACTGGCGTGGGTTGGATGCCCGGGAGATGCTTTGGTAGTTTAGCGCAGAGGAAGGTAGTCTAGTACTGGTGTAACTCTCCAGGAACGATGGTTATGAAACTACTCGCCTATATGACTGAAATACTGTTGGAAAAAGGCGTAAAATGAAACAAACAAACAAAAAACAGTAATACTGATATTCCTGGATGGATTTTCAATGTTTTGGCAAAGACATGATGATTATGTGCTGTCTGCAAGAATCAAACCTCCAGCTTAAAGGTCAAAGTCATGCTTTATTGGTTTTCTGAAATACTAAGTGTTAAGTGCCAATTTTCAATATGATGATCACAACTTGAACTAGTGCACATAGCAAACATAAATGTATAGCTACATGTTTGTACATTAGAATTATTGTAACATACAGCTTTATTAGAAACTTTGGTTTCATTCTATGGATGTTCAGAATGTTTCCACATTTAGATGTAATATTTTTGCCAATACAATAAATAAATTCTGAATATATTTTTCCATAGGCTACATTGGAACGAGGTGTTCAGGTTTGTAAAAATACTGAAGATAATGAGTTTGAGGTATTTGAGAATGAAACACTGACAATGGCTATGGGTCTTCTTACAGCTCTGCTGACTGGGGCTTTCCAGGTATGTTATTTGTATTTATCAACAAATATCTAATGTCCTGTATTCAGGTATATTATAAGCAAGTGTTACAAAATATATACTGGCCCGAAAGTTACTGATAGGAATAGAAAATTGTAAAATACTTAATATTCCTAGTCATATTTTGATAAAATGCAATAATTTTAAATTGAGTGCTTGTAAATTCTGTCAACTTACTTATCTTTAGCTAGCCAATATAGATTTCTTGAAAATATTTTCTTACAATCTATGCAAAAGAAATAAAGGAAGAGTGATATAATTTGTTAAAAATAAGGAAAGCAATTTATAAATTTGAACTTGGTCGTCAGTGTTTAGTTAATCTAATTTTCATTCCAATTCATCACAGTGTTTTAAGAAAAGTGATTGTAGTGTATATTTCAAAATATTTAAAGTCAAATTCTGTGTACTGTAGAACACTTTGTTTTTGCAAGAACATAATTTTTGCGTTAATTTTCAAGTGCTAATAGAATTAATAACGTACTTTAGTTTAAAGAAGATTATACATACAAAAACTTAGTGTTCGTCTTATTTTTTCCTCCACCTAGTTTTGTACTGTTTCCATATTGTTGACATGCACATGCTTTTAAGTGGTGATTTGAAAATGAATGGAGAAAAAAATGAAAGTGCTTGATATTTAAACCTGTTTCTCCCTTGTTCTTCTAGCTAACAGATGAAGACAGGCAAAATATGCAGGAGTTACTTCCCTTGCTACAGGAGATAAGTTCAGATCACCCAGAATCATCAGTACAAGAAATGGCAACAGACATTAGAATTGCCATAGCAACCCATGGTGCAGTTTGGTCTGAACTAAGTAAAGAGAAAAGCCAGAATTTTGAAGACATAGCTAAAAAGGTGACAATATTTGACCCAAATTTTCACATACTTTATACACTACACTACACTGGAGCAACTGGTGAAAATTTTTGACTTTTCAGATTTGATTCTGTCAGTAAAAATATACATATACAATGTGTGATGTTTGAAACATGTAAGGCATGTTGACATTAGTTGATAATTTCATGTATATGACATTCGCTTATAAGGCAATATACTTCCATTTTTTTAGCTCACCTGAGCATATGCTCAGGGTGAGCTATTAGGATCACTCTACGTCCGTTGTACGTCGTCCGTTGTCCGTTCACACTTTTAAAACGACATCTCCTCTGAAACCATAAGGCAGATCATAATGAAACTTCACAGGGATGTGTGAAGCCTTAACAAAGTTGTTCAAAGAATTCCATTCCATGCAGAACTCTGGCTGCCATGGCAACCAAAAGAAAAAACTTTAAATATCTTCTTTTAAAAAACCCAAAGAGCTAGAGCTTAGATATTTGGCATGAAACATCTTCTAGTGAGTGTCTACCAAGTTTGTTTAAATAAAAGCACTGGGGTCAAAATTGGCCCCGCCACAGGGGGTCATTGATTTTCCCTATATGCATATAGTAAAAACTTTAAAAATCTTCTTTTAAAGAACCCAAAGAGCTAGAGCTAAGATATTTAGCATCTTCTAATGGGTGTCTACCATGTTTGTTCAAATAAAAGCCCTTGGGTCAAAATTGGCCCCGCCCCAGGGGGTCATTGATTTTCCTTATATGTGTATAGCAAAAACTTAAAAAATCTTTTTTGAAAAAAAACCAAATAGCTAGAGTTTAGATATTAAGCATGAAACATCTTCTAGTGAGTGTCTACCAAGTTTGTTCAAATAAAAGACCTGGGGTCAAAATTGGCCCCGCCCCGGGGTCATTCATTTTCCTCATATGTGTATAACAAAAACTTAAAAAATCTTTTTTGAAAAAAAAACTCAAATAGCTAGAGTTTAGATATTAAGCACGAAGCATCTTCTAGTGAGTGTCTACAAAGTTTGTTCAAATAAAAGCCCTTGGGTCAAAATTGGCCGGCTCGGGGGACATTGATTTTCCTTATATGTGTATAGCAAAAACTTAAAAATCTTCTTTGAAAAAACCCGAATAGCTAGAATTAAGATATTAAGACTGAGACAATTTTTAGTAAGTGTCTACAAAGATTGTTCAAATAAAAGCCCTGGGGTCAAAACTGGCCCTGCTCCAGGTGTGTCATTGTTTTTAACTATATGTGTAAAGAAAAAACTTGAAAAAATCTTCTTTTAAAAACCCCAAGGAGCTAGACCTGAGATGTCTAGCGTGAAACATCTTCTAATTGGTGTCTACCAAGTTTGTTCAAATAAAAGCCTTGGAGTTTAAACTGGCCCCATTCCGGGGGCCTATATACAGGTGAGTGACTTCAGGGGCATCATGGCCCTCTTGTTTTTTCATACAAGCATTTTGGAAGCTTTCGTTTTAGAATTTAAACAGTAGATTTTGCCTCAGATATGTAGCAAATACACTTTAAAAATTTAGTTCTTGTCATTTAAAATATTGTCAAAAGTTAACATCCTTTCTCACCATTTTAGATAAAGCAAGAAAAGGAAAAAGTCAAACCTCCAGCAAGGAAAACTACCAAGAAGATTGAAGTTTTATCTGAGCAACAGTTCCCTAAACAGAGAGTAGAAAAAGTAGAAAAAAATGTTGATGAAACAGGAAAATCTACTGGTGAAAGAGAAATGCAGAAAAATGAAAACAGTAAGGTTAGTCAAACACATTCTAGGGAGATTACTCAGAAATGTAGTGAAGATACTCCTGTAGATATTAAAAAAGAGTTGCAGGATGTGAAAACTATTTATGTAAAAACATCAAATGAAGTGAAACAAATTGGTCAGGAAGCTGATGTTGAAAAAGTGAGTTCAGAACTTGACCTGGCATTTAAGGAGTTATGTGATACATTGATACCTGTCAGAGGGCATGGTCTTATCAGACTTACACATCTGGTACAGAAACGAGACCCGGAAGTGAAGAAGAGACGGGACGCAGTGTTGAAAATATTTGTAGAGAATTTAGATCACGGGGATTCTTATTTATACCTGTCCGCAGTCAATGGTTTAGCAGCAATGTGTGACATGTATCCAGATTTAGTAGTGCCCGACGTGTGTAAACAGTTTGCGGATTTTGATAGGTTGAAAGGCGAGCATGGCAAGAAAAGGTCGGCAGAGTTGAGGATGAAACTTGGTGAAGTAATGGTGAAGGCATCCAGATGTCTAGGTATGTCTGTCTGATGATATAAAATATTTCATATTACAGTATGACATTTTTATTACCTTTTTACAGAGAGATTAACAATTCTTGCATAGCAGACTGGCGTTTCAATGAGTTTTACCCATGCCAGATAGAGTCTGCCATACAACATGGTCATTTTAGCACATTTTATGAATGAACCGCGTTAAAATGACTTCATTTCTGCGCATTTTAGAAGGGACTACATGTATGTGCTCAGGATGACGTCGTTTTGTCATTGTTATTAAAGTTGTAGATTCATACACTATTGTAAAAAAATAGTTATGGATGAAATGACATTAACTTCCGTGAACAAATATCTTGCGGAGGTAAACCATTTTAGATATGAAAGAATATAGTAAAATATGCAAGAAAAAATATCTGACATATGTTTGCAGTTAGGAATATCCATCCCCTTGGAACCCATCAATGAGCTGGTCCCCTCGGGACGGATATTCCAGTTCGAACCGCAACCTATGACAGATATTAGGACCTCTCAGAAAATTTTGCCAAATTAGAATTTATAACTCACAAATTTTGTTGATTTAAATATTTTTGAGAACAAATCTTGCAAACATTTAGTAAATAGCATGAAATTAACTTTTTTTTTCAGAAAACAACCTTTACTTTGCCGTGGTATATTCTTTTAGATTGATACCTTTAAAAGTCTAATTAGAAAAAGTAGCATTATTTATATAAGGTGGGGGATACTTGTACAAATGCATTTTTTTCCAACTAAATGCATATTATAACAAATAAGATATACTGTGATCACATCAATGTTATAATATAGAGCAGGTTTGACTTTAAACCCAATAAAAATATTTTTCCTTTGCAATGGTTTTATCTCTTTGATTTTAAAGCTTTTATAATCTTATAATGAGTTGCGATTGCTGGCCATGTGGGTTTAAACCCTGTCAGGGACAAGCCGTTGTTTAGGTAAGCAAGAAAATTTACACTCATTGCTAAGTACTGGTTAGCGCCAGGATAAGATTCTAGAGTGTTTCAGTAAGCTTATAACTTCCAACACATTCAAGCTGAAATAAATTTGTATAAACTAAAATCTAATTCAAAGCATTGCAGTAGTTTTATACAGTGTTTTCTGGTTACATCAATAATATTTTATATTTTACGTATTTCAGGAGACACTATAGCAGGGTACCGTGACTTGCTGGTTCCTAGCGTACTAACTGGTGTAAGGGACGAGGAAGCTTTTGTTCGAGCAAGTAGTCTCTCAAACCTTGGTGAAATTTGCAAACTTCTCAAGTTTTCACTCGGAAACATCATACATGAGGTAAATAACTTAAATAAGTATAAGTTCACCAGCACTCAAAGTACTTGTTCTGAAATTGTCTGTCTTAGAAAATGAGAGTCTTCAGTGTGTTATGTTTAGAACAATTTATTGTGACCATCCTGTGTCAGGCTTCCATCGTTCATTGTTAACATTTTACATCTCCCTTGGTCTATAATAATGAATGTAGAGTACATATCCTTTGATGGTCCTCTATAAAGATTGCTTAAATTGTTTCAGTCTGCTGAACAAGATAACCAACAGATAGCCAAATATAGACCTAAAGTTGCTTATTTAAGAGAAAGTTGTATCCTGTAAAGATTATTGTAACGCTGGAATTTTGTTCTTTCAGGTATTTGAGTGTTGTAGCAGTACCCTGAAACATGACAATGATGTTGAAGTTAGAAAAGCAGCAGCCCAAGCTTTGACCTTACTTATACAGGGGTCAGGTCCACAAATATTCAAGGTGAATTTTGTTCAGATTCTTGTGTTTATAAAATGAAATTATTGTAAAGTATAATTTTTCTACCTTCTTAACATAAGGATTAGCCCAGGATGTGGATTTGAGTTTGATTTTAGATAAGCTGTAATATTTCAAAATTATGATGCTAAAATGTACATGCATGTTTAACCTTTAGCCAGCAGGCAGGCAAGATCTTCCAGCATATCCTTGCTACTTAATCACAAGGCCTCTGTAGTGGTATGATAATAGTTGCTAACATCAGATTACTTGTTCCTTAGTGTCTAGGACTTTGGATGCTTTCTTGTGAGGAAATTATCCAGCTAGCTTACGGAAGGTCTGTGGTTCTACTTAAGTACCTGCTTGTGCCAGAAATAATGCAAAACAGGGGGCTAGAAATTAAGTAATTAATGACTTTATTTAATGAGACTAACACATTCGGTTTCCTGATTTTCCAAGTGATCCTCAGCACCTAAGGTCTTTTTCCGCCATTAAATCTAAAAGGTAACTGTATGACCTTTACAGTGTCAGTGTAACTTTAAATCCAACAAACAATCAGTCAACAAGTCTGATCATGGTCTGCACTGTTTGCTATTCAGTCTGTACAGATTTTTTTATACTCCATAAAATGATGAATGGTTTTTGTCCATTTAAGATATTTAATATGGTGAGAAATAAATTATTGGTCCAGTATATGCTCAATGCAGAAAGATATTGTATCTTTATTCTAAAATTTGTCTATTCTGACTGTTTATAAAGTTGACATTATACTCAAATTGTCATACACATTTAATTTGAGATGACAGGTTAATTAATTAATCTTTGATAGTTTTTTTTTTAATTTTAATAAACACAGATTTCTATTTTCTCTTAAGGCAGCATGCATCCAGATTTATGCTTATTTTCGTGAATTTATTTTTAAAAATGTATTGAAAACTTCAAGAGTAAAACATTGACAAGTGAAGAAAGAAAAAAATGTACATACATGTATTGCAAACGGCACTTATCTACCAAAATTTTATAAATATTCTTGTTACAATGGAGTTTAACCACAATTTTAATGTTAAGGCAACAAACATGAGTAGCTTCCCTTTGATTTTTTAGATGTAAAAGTGGCTTGTTTTTTTATAACAGTTATTTCATCAGTGTAATAGTCATTTTTGATTTTTTAACGCCATACCTAAATTATAAAATCATATTGTGCTCCCTATTTCTGAATCATTACCGATGCTTCATAAAAATTCAAAGTTAAACCCTCCTTATGATTTTTCCATTATGAGCAGTTTGAAGCAAATTAATCTTTTTCTTCCAGATTCTTGACAGTGTTCTCAAGGACCTGTACCGACTGTTGAAGCACGTGATGCAGAATGAGAAAGAAGATGGCGTAAAGTTGCACGTGCATCTTGCTCTAAATGAACTAGATGACCTCACGAAAGAACAATTGTTTCCTAAACAAAAACTCGAAAAGAGAATAAAGGTGCTAGACTTTGATTGATATAATATTATGATGAACTTTTAATATAAATGATATGAGAAATTCAGCTACAATTGTACCTCTTTCTCTTTTATTTTGTTTTGCTATTTTGATTTCATAACTGTCTTGAAGCCCAATTCCAACAGGCGCTGTTTAAAAGCAAGAAAATCTTTCCATTACGAATCACCATGATGTCAGATTCTTTAAGATAGAACATTTTATGTGTGTCAGTATGTAAAATATAACAAACAGTAAACTCAGTTATGTTTAAAGATCCTGTATGTTTTAATTAAGGATGTAACAACATTTAAGTGAAATTTTATATATGTATATTATTAATCTTCTAAAACAATTTCCAAACATCAAGAATATGTTAAATATGTACTGCAAATGTTTATACGCATTATAAGTAATCATTTAAATGTATGCATTCATTTTTTAATGAAAAATTTGGCTTAGACTTTATCGAAAATCTATTTCTAATTACCTCCCTTTATTTACATGAAATGTAAATTCGGTAATGTCTTGACAAATAATGCTTTTTGGAACTAACAATATTTATAAATCTTTATTTGAGCACCATATTAATGATATAAAACCATGAAAAAAATTGAGTTACAGAAGAGAACATCATGATGTCTGTTTGTTGTTTTTTTGCTTGGAAAGAAGCCTCATGAATTGATTTTGTGGTCTGCTGGATTGCTAGGTCTTTGATAACATTTCTCAGTGTGTTTTCTCAACAAATGCTTACAAATGTCATAATTCTTCTCGGGAACCTAAATATCTGACAAGGGCAAATTATATTGAAGGCCTTAAATAAATGAATGGTATTAATTTCATGTCTGATTCGAAAAGCCATGCCCCAAAATAGATGTGACCTTTGAAGGGACGCATAAAACATAGATCAGCTGGGGCACTAAAACATAAATATTTGCAAATATTTTTTAAGATATATATTCTGAAATTAATTGAAAATCTTATTTTTGTGCTCTTCTTGGGCTTTTTTCATTTTGTGATCATTTTTCACTATTAGAATAATTGATCTGGAAAAACGGATTGAGCGAATGGTTTGAAATTCTGTACACAAGTTATTGGTTTAGACCTACATCAAATGGAACATTAATTAACATAAAGATATATCAAGTCCCTTGTGTAAAAAGAAACAACGCCAGCGGAGTCCCTTTAAAGCATGATTGAATCTATTACTAATATTTGTAACAGAGAACCGGTAGCTTTCTCCTCTAAGAGGTTTTTGGAGTAAAGACTTGTATCATAAAATTCTTATGTCTAACTCTCCTATTTCCGCTTGCTTAACATGCTGAAATCATGCGTCCTGGGGTGTTTTACTTAAGAATTCATGTTCTGAAACTCGGGTAATGTTTGCTTTATTTGGAAAATGAATCAGTCTTAAGAGAGTAGTGTTTGATTGGTCCAGGGTCTTTCTATTGAAAGACCCTGATTGGTCTCCCTTGTACTTTGAGTTATGTTGATTTAAAATTACTCGATATGACAGGTTTGTTATATGAAGGCAAAAGCATCAGAAAAATATCTCGTATATGAACACTGTTTTGAACCCAAACTATAAATACAGACTTACAAACGAAATGGCAACACTTTGGCGGACTTGGTATTAACAATGCTCCCAGACCACTGATTAAGTTGTATTTACAGTAATAAAAGTACACTTGATTAAAAGCAGTTATACATTCAGTGATAAATTGTAAACCCTTTTGTAAGGAACGACATTTAATAGCACGATAACTCCACATACTCATATCACGCAATTAGTTTTAATATAAATTTAGAAAATTTTACCCTTTGTTGTTGCAAAGAAGAGAAAAAACAACAACAAAAACGTACCTCATTTGAATGAAATTAAAATGTTTTATTTACTTGTACATATATAATTAGATGTACAAATGCTACAGTTCAGCTACATCTATCATACGTTTTTTGTAAGTTAATGAATGTTAACGGCCTATTAATCTACCGTCGGGAGTGACGTCAGCATAACCTAAATCTCTTGCTTGTGTAAAGATCGTTAAAATTATATGTGCATAATGTAAGTTTTGGATTAATTCGAAGATATTTGTCACAGAAAGATAAGTTATACAATTCAACATGAAAAAAGGAAGCTTAAATACTATGTTAGCTAATGCTTTGAATACAAAATTTGACGTGAACATTTAGCTAAAATCTGGGCCATACGTCATTGTATGTCCCAGCTAAGATGTGCAAATGTAATGAATATTAAACGGAAAATGGCAGTACAGAGCTTGATGTTTGGATTTTTCTTTTTAAGTTTACTTTTTGAAGTATTCGGCAAGGAGAATAATATACTATTGCACCGGACTTTGAACTCTAGCACTGTTAATCGGAACGTCTCAAGCAATTTGATTAATGATGTTGGGAATTATACAGAGGAAATGCCGTCAGAAAGGGACGTCACTCTGAATACTGACGTCAATACGTCTCTAAGCGGAAATATAGAAGCATTGGATATAACAGCTTATGGTAACTGGAACAACATTTCTGTATACATAATTCCAGATAGTTGGTTAGGCATTTGTAAAGTGTTCGAAGGAGAAATCTATGAATCTGAATTTACACCAAGAACGAACCTTATATCCATTAAGTGTACAATAGATGTCAACCACTCTAATATATTGAATACGAATGATCTAAGGGAGACTTTGGACTCTTATAAAGACCTGAACAAACGTTTTAGTTTGGAAATTAATTGTCGATCAATGGCGAACATTTCTTTATCCTTTCCATTTAAAGTCGATAACTTGTTCATCTTGAAAGTTCAAGGCTGTAGAATACTTGATTGTTTAGCAGACGGCAGAAACAACGTTTCGGCGGCCATTCCTGATAGTTTGCGCGTTCTTCAAATATTGAATACAACAATTTCTGTCAAACAATCAAACTTGAATGAATTTATGAGGGACATCAAAACACTGACAAAAGGTTACTCTTGTTTACATGCGGAGACTATTGAGTTCATAACGATGAGGAATATCAGCTATGAAATTATTAAAGATATTGTCAGTGAACCGGAAGAAGTAGGGAATCATGGTCGGAACATCGTCCCTAGATCGCGTCACATACCGGATGTTTGTGATTATTTGCATTTACGAATTCTAGACAGAAGTATTCGCACCAGGCCTTTATTTGATCTCTACGATCTGTTTACAGAAAGATCGATTTACGAACGAGTCCAAATTTACAACGCATCGAATTCTGGTATTGCAGAATTGAAGGATCGATATTTACAATGGTCAAACACATTTCCAAATTTACAAATGTTAGATCTTTCTAAGAATAATATCTCAAAATTATACAGATTTGCTTTCCCGTTGCATTCCATGGCGAATATCAGTAAATTTACAACTGTAGATCTAAGGTTTAATAAAATTTCAATGATAACTGTGAATGACCTTGACCGATTTAAAATGATGCCGACTGTCTTCTTTGATCTGAGAAATAATCCTATAGATTGCAATTGTTCCGACACTTTGGAAGAATTATTACGATATATAGAAGCAGGCAAACATCTACAAATATCAAATATATTCGATTATAGTTATATCGAGAATTTGGAATGTAACTATCCGGAGAACTTGAAAGGCACAACCATAAAGACATTGACATCTGAGATGATTTGTGAATCCAATTTACAGACGGAATATTTCTTGGTTCCAATAATTTGTTTGAGTGCCACAATTGTTATTTTGGCGTTATTATTCCTTGTGATTTGTCGATTCAGACACGAAATTACCATTCTATTATTTACGCACTTCAATATAATTTTCCCTTGTCAAACACGCGACAGTTACGACTCTGAGAAGAAATATGACGCATTTGTTAGTTATAGCAGTAACGAAGAAGAATACGTGGAGAAACTTTTCGAAGATCTTGAAAAGCCAGCAGACGACAAAGCGCGCCCATCGTTTAAGTTCTGTATGCATCATCGTGACTTTGTTCCAGGAAAAACTATTTTTGATAATGTTACATTTTCCGTTGAGTCAAGCAGACACACAATTATTTTATTGTCAAACCATTTTATAAAAAGCGAGTACTGTTTATACGAGTTTCAAGAGGCTTTCAGACAAAGTATCATGGAAAAAAGGCGCCACCTGGTAATAATCATGATGGAAGATATTCCTGAAAAACAACTGCCACGCGATCTCAGACGCTGTGTAAAAACATTTACATATATCAGAAAAGATGATTTTCTTTTCACGGAAAGACTAATTTATGCACTATCTATAAAACATGAAAGAAAAAGTGTCATCAAAAATTCTGAAGAAGTATAGGGTGAAACTTAAAACTGTTTATTATTGAAAAACTACAGACATCGAAAGATTTAAAATGGGGTTCATTGTTGACATAGCTGTCAGAGATATTGTTGACTTTTCAATGAAAAGTTACAGTACGTGTTATTTCTAATTTTCTACTACTTTCTATTTTACTATATTTTCCATAATATCGTTGACAAGGTATCTACTTTCCTTTACCTGAAAAATGACAACTTTATGGTAACTGAATAATGCCATGTCGTATTTTTGCTCCGCTTTAAGCCAGACGAAAACACGGAAATACGACAATGTGACCATTTTGTCGCGAAGAGCCAGGAGAACATACGAACATACGACAACTTTGTCGTACTTTTTCTCTGTAGGACGACAGTCGGAAACACGACAATACGAGAAAGTAACTAACCATTTTGTCGTACTTTGCACTGCTGGACGGCAGGCGAAACAAAGTAACCACTGTCGTATTTGTGGTTTTTGCCTGGCGCCCCGTGAGCGAAACACGACATGGCATTAATCAGCTACCATACAATTTAGTTACAACATATCACCCGTTATTTTTACGAATAATACTTTTTTCTTAATTAAACTTGATTATTATTCGCTACATTTTATATCACATCGCCCAAGATGGCCTGAGATGTCAACAACTGTTACGTTGTAATGAAGTACCTTTCCTCCGGAATAAATGTACTTGTTTTCATACTATTTGTTTTCATTGCAGTTCTGTTTTGATCACTTCATTTAAATGCAAACATCCACCAATTGATGTATTTCAATATGACATTAACTGCACACTGTAGTACACTTTAGATTCTTTTGACAAAATGAATTCATGATCTTAAATCGTGCGGTATGAATAAACGTAATATCAATAATTGTAGGAAATTGACAGGGAAAATTGACTACAGTTATAAAACTCCAGACAGTTATTTCCTATCTAAACCAATTTAAAAAATACTTGTCCTTTGATCATGAATTTATTGCACCTGATATGACAGTATTGTTGTGATGGCACAGTTTAGTTATGAAGTAAACATATTGTTTCAAAATTAAAGGCACATTATGCCTCAGAAGTTAATATTTTTTAATGGTTTAGAATGGTCAAACATGTGTTAAATAATGCTTAAATAATGGATTTAAAGCATGTTAGATGTTAAACAACCGACGAAAGTAACCTTAATCGTGCAGTAATGTGTTTTAAAGGCATTAAAATTTACAAAGTAGATATTTGACTTTGAATCACTATAATTGTACCAATTGCCAAAGTGTAAGAGAAGCAAAAGATAGTTCATCTATATGGCCAATGGATAACTTTTTTGAATCTATAACAATATACCAGAAATAAGAAAATAGTCATAAATGAAATTTTGGAGGCACTTTAATGTTATTTACTTTGAATATTAGTGTTTGTATGAATATTCTGAAATCCTTGGAATATAAAGAAGGGGTGTATATTAATTCTGATAAATTTGTTATTTGATAAACAAGAACAGTATTAAAGGCACTCCACTGAGGTTTTTTTAACATGACGGGACTGGAAATATTTTTTTCGAGATTATTGTTCCACCTGATATAGGTCTAGACCAACAATTTTTTGTACAAAATTCCACGTCATTTGCTCACTCAATTGACTCTTAAAGGAACTGCACTTAGGTCTAAGCCTAAAAACATAAAATTTTAATTTCTTACAAATATTTAAAACAGAAAGGTATTCATAAGATAATTGACAAATATACTCAGAAATATGTTGAAAATCATTTTGTTGTGTTAATCTTAGCTAGATTTGAGTGAAAAGTGTTGCAAGACTTTTCAATTTTGGGTCATTTTTCACAATTATAATAACTAGTCTGGAAAAACAGAGTGAGAGAATGGTCTAAAATTTTGCACCCAAGTTATTGGTCTAGACCTACATTAAATTAACAGAATATTAATCGCGAAAAATTATTTCCAGTCCCATCATGTCAAATAAACCTCAGTGGAGTGCCTTTAAAAGAAACACAAATGCTACGTACATTTCTTACAAATAAAGCCACATAGTTAGCTACGCTGTAATGTACATTTCATGGTATTAATTAAGGCATGTTACCCCTAATGCATTAGATGACTAGTCAAATAGGCTTCAGTCTCTGCCACATGCATCGAAACTTTGGGTTGTGGGTTCAATCCCCAGAAGAGTGATACGTTAAATTCGTATTGGTAAAGTTTCGAAATTCGTTCTTATTAAATATTACTGACATTTAAACTTTTAAATATTACAACTGTATACGCATCGGTTTAAACTCGATGTGATACTCATATATTAATTATTCTCATAATGAATTACATGAAACTGCTTCATTTGTGTAATGAATTTGAGAAAAAATCCATTTAAAAGTTAAGGAATTTCATAACCACAATACAAAAAAGTTAAATAACCGACTGTATAGAACCCTCATCAGACTGCATGGATGTGCAAGCTGGTCTGGCTCTGTGCTGGTGGCAAATGTCAGCAATACATGATACTCTAATCAGGCAACTAAATGTTCTGATTTTTGCCGATTTAATTGCTTATGTTTATTATCAAGCTGAAAATTTTATTAAAATATCTTTAAATTTCGAGAGCGTTTTTATATGTTACTGAAGTTAGCCAGACAGCCGGAACACTTTTTGCCAGAATCCGGTTTCCGGCAGAACCGGCTAGCCAGAGATGGCACAGTAAAACCTGTGCAAAAGATTATTCCATGACGTAGTTTCAAATTGTATATCACCTTGATCTCCGGCTACTCCGGCTAGCCAGAAAAAGCTTTTGATGTTTTTTCTTTAGGTTTAAATATACATTCTTTTGTAATATGCAAGTTATAATTAAGCACCTTGTAACACACTTCGTTTGATTAAAACTGCTGAAGCAATTAATTAATACAGTGTCTAATGCACTGTTGATCGAATGACAACATCTATACATATTAAATTTCTACTTCCTTGTACGAATCTCTGGTCACGACTTTGATATTATCAACTTGAGTATTTCCTTCTTAATTAAATACAGCAGCAGTATTTCCTTCTTTCTTCAAGTTTAATATCATTAAAAATTTCAATCTAGTTTTTATAAAATAAAAGATATTAAAACATGACTTAAAGTGCGTGATAAGGATATGATTTTAAGGCATAAAGGTAAAAAATATTAATATAACTTGTTGAAAAAAATATACAATCTTATTTTATATTCGTATGTTTTCGCCGGAGAAAAATTCTTCAAAAATAAAACAAGACTTAAATTTAAAGTTTGTGACAAGGATATAATTTTAAGTAATGAAGGTAAAAAATTTAATAATCAAATAACACTTTGAAAAATTATAATCTTATTTTACTAGATCTAGTAGACCTTTATGTTTTCGCTGGAGAAAAAAATCTTCAAATGCTGTTGATATATGTCTTTTTTTCTTGGCAATTTGCCAGATACATTTATTACAGTTATTACAATGTATATAAAGCTTCATGAATTTATTATTCATAAAACGTAACAATTTGGTGGCGATGGTGATGCAATAAGATACTATGATTATAGATAAAACATGTGGATTATTCAACAACAAGTAAAATGATAAAATTTTTATTGTTTATTAACAATTTAATTATATTACTTTTATTTTCGGACAAAAAGTTAATTGACTGTATTGCGAACAATAAAAATTGTCTTGACATTAATTTTTATTGCAGAGGTATTTATTTATTTATTATTATTAAGAGATATTTTACCCATTTTTTATTTTATGTAGATTTTTATGTTTAAAGCTCTTTAATCGGTATAAATATTTAACTTTACACTAATTCTTTAACTTTACACTCATTATTTAACTGTACACTCATTCTTTAATTTTACATTCATTCATTTTACAGTCATTCTTTGACACTCATTCTTCAACTTTACAGTAATTCTTTAAATTTACAGTCAATCCTCAAAACTGGTTAGTTTCAAGAACTGTACTCATTTTTAACTTTACAGTCATTCTTTAACTTGACAATCAATCTTTAACTTTACACTCAGTCTTTAACTTTACAGTCATTCTTTAACTTGACAATCAATCTTTAACTTTACACTCAGTCTTTGAATTTACAGTCATTCTTTAACCTTACAGTCATTTCCCAGTACTGGTTAGTTTCAGGAACTGTACTCATTCTTTAACTTTACACTAATTCTATAACTTTACATTCATTCTTTAACTTTACAGTCATTCTTTAACTTTACAGTTATTCTTTTACTTTACAGTTACTCTTTAACTTTACACTCATTCTTTAACTTTACACTCATTCTTTAACTTTACACTCACTCTGTAAAGATAAAGAATGAGTGTAAAGTTAAAGAATTACTGTATTCTTTAACTTTATACTCATTCTTTAACTTAACACTCATTCTTTAACTAAACACCCATTCTTTAATTTTACAGTCATTTTTAGCTCGACTATTCTGTAAAGATAAAGAATGAGTGTAAAGTTAAAGAATTACTGTATTCTTTAACTTTATACTCATTCTTTAACTTAACACTCATTCTTTAACTAAACACCCATTCTTTAACTTTACAGTCATTTTTAGCTCGACTATTCGAAGGATATGAGAGCTATTGTAGTCGCCCCGGCGTCGGCGTCAGCGTCCGCGTCGGCGTTGGTTAAAGTTTTTTGTAAATTCAAATATCTCAATTATTGCTTGAGATATTCAATTGAAACTTACAATACTTATTTATAGTAACAATGTACATCAGATTGACAAGTTGGATAACTCTGTCTACAATATTGACAGAATTATGCCCCTTTTTAACTTAGAAATTTTGGTTAAAGTTTTTTGTAAAGTCAAATATCTCAATTATTGCTTGAGATATTCAATTGAAACTTACAATACTTATTTATAGTAACAATGTTCATCAGATTGACAAGTTGGATAAGTATGCCTATAATATTTACAGAATTATGCCCCTTTATAACTTAGAAATTTTGGTTAAAGATTTTTAGCTCGACTATTCGCAGAATAATCGAGCTAATGCAGTCACCCATTTGTCGGCGTCGGCGTCGGCGTCCCTGTGGTTAAGTTTTTGTATGTAAGCTGGTATCTCCATAACTACTGAAGGGAATGGATTGAAACTTCACACACTTGTTCTCTGTGATTATCTAAGATGATTGGCACAAGTCCCATAACTCTGATTCGCTTTTTTTTTTATAATTATGCCCCTTTTTCAACTTAGAAATTCTTGGTTAAGTTTTTTTGTATGTAAGCAGTTATCTCCATAACTACTGAAGGGAATTGATTGAAACTTCACACACTTGTTCTCTGTGATTATCTAAGATGATTGGCACAAGTCCCATAACTCTGATTTGCTTTTTTTCATAATTATGCCCCTTTTTCGACTTAGAAATTCTTGGTTAAGTTTTTGCGTGTAAGCTGGTATCTCCATAACTACTGAAGGGAATGGATTGAAACTTCACACACTTGTTCTCTGTGATTATCTAAGATAATTGACACAAGTCCCATAACTCTGATTTGCTTTTTTACATAATTATGCCCCTTTTTCGACTTAGAAATTCTTGGTTAAGTTTTTGTATGTAAGCTGGTATCTCCATAACTACTGATGGGAATGGATTGACACTTCACACACTTGTTCTCTGTGATTATCTAAGATGATTGGCACAAGTCCCATAACTCTGATTTGCTTTTTAACATAATTATGCCCCTTTTTCGACTTAGAAATTCTTGGTTAAGTTTTTGCATGTAAGCTGGTATCTCCATAACTACTGAAGGGAATGGATTGAAACTTCACACACTTGTTCTCTGTGATTATCTAAGATGATTGGCACAAGTCCCATAACTCTGATTTGCTTTTTAACATAATTATGCCCCTTTTTCGACTTAGAAATTCTTGGTTAAGTTTTTGCATGTAAGCTGGTATCTCCATAACTACTGAAGGGAATGGATTGAAACTTCACACACTTGGTCTCTGTGATTATCTAAGATGATTGGTACAAGTCCCATAACTCTGATTTGCTTTTTTTGCATAATAATGCCCCTTTTTCGACTCATGAATTCTTGGTAAAGTTTTTGCATGTAAGCTTGTCTCTCCATAACTACTGAAGGGAATGTATTGAAACTTGAAGAGTTTGTACCTTTTCGGACAATTTTATGAATTCATATAGGTAAGCATTATTATACTCAATGAAACACCCTTGTGACAAATTTTCGAAAAGTCGAGCGTTACTGTCCTCCGACAGTTCTTGTTTGTAAAGTCAAATACATGTATCTCAATTATTGCTTGAGATATTCAATTGAAACTTACAATACTTTTTTATAGTAACAATGTACATCAGTTTGCAAAATTGCATAACTCTGCCTGCAATATTTGCAGAATTATCTGCCCCTTTGAAACTTAGAAATTTTGGTTAAAGGTTAAAGGTCTTCAAAGATATTTACTTGAAACATTACACATGTACTTAGGGTCATAATTGGAGAGTCATAATTGTATGTCACTGACCAAGTTCCATAACTCTACTCGCATTTAGGCTGATTCATCTCCCCTTTTCTACTTAGTCTCTTGGTTAATGTTTACATGCAAGTTTTACATATCTCAATAACTAATAAAGATATTTCTTTAAAACTTCACATATGTATTTAGAATCATAATTGTAGGTCACTGACCAAGATCCATAATTCTATCTTGCATTTAGGCTGATTTTTCTCCCCTTTTTCAACTTAGAAATTCATGGTAAAGTTTTGCTTGTAAGCTGTTATCTCCATAACTACTGAAGAGTTTGTGCCTTTTTTGGGACATTTTTATGCATTCATAATAATAAAGCAGTGATTTACTTGATAAAACATCTTAATAACAAGCCTTTGTACCTTTTCGGTCAATTTTATGTATTCATAGGTAATTAGCATTATTATACTCAATAAAACACCTTTGTGACAATTTTTGAATAGTCGAGCCAATACTGTCCTCCGACAGTTCTTGTTTAAATTTACACTCAATCTTTAACTTTACACTCATTCTTTAACTTTACACTCATTCTTTAACTTTACAGTCATTCTTTAACTTAACACTCATTCTTTAACTTTACACTCATTCTTTAACTTTACACTCATTCTTTAACTTTACACTCATTCTTTAACTTTACTTTCATTCTTTAACCTTACAGCTGGTTAGTTTCAGGAACTGTACTGATTCTTTAACTTTACACTCATTCCATAGAACCGGTTAGTTCCAGGCGTGCCTTTAAGCTTATAACTGTGTTCATATTCGGAATAAAAATATTCTTTATAAACAAGTATTTCTCTTCCGTACATAAAACGCTATTATAACAACCGTGATCGTTTTTCCAACTGTCCACTACACGTAGATATGTACATGTATATATGTATATTTCTGACGATGCATATACATGTTTAATGTCACTAATGTCACATCAATGTTTTAAGTGATATAAAAATAAAATAATTACATTAACATATAAAATGTGCAAGTCACAACGTTTACCATTGTACACATTTATTTGTTTCGCCACAGGGCAGTATAACAAATGCGATGTGGTCAATGTGAAAACATTAATCATGTCAATTAGGACAAGGGTTGAGGGAAGAGCATCATTTTATCCTTATAAGGATTAATTAAAACCTTAATTAAAATCTAGGTTAGGCCTATATAAAATGTAATTTTTTAGATGGATCCGGTAGGTTACTATAAGCTTGAATAAAACCAAATGAATGTATCTTCACATCAACGAATTGATTTAGTCATGATATATAAGATCATTTAATCAAACAAAATTTAATTAATATATCTTCACATTAACAAAATAATTTAGTCATTTATATATTAGATCCTTTACAATTATGTTATATCCGCTTCCGTGTCATGATACATATGTTCTTTAAGAAATTATGTTGTCATTAAAAATAAGATATTGTAATATTATACAAATGTTCTTGCAAATTTTAGTGAAATGTTATAATCCTCATATAAAAAAACATATTATGCTGTCAATTCCCTCTACGTGCACAGAACAGTCAAGGGAAAGATTGCAAGATTGACCGCTGTTGACTATTGGTTTGTTGGAAAGAGTAACTCTCTTGTTATTATTTTCGCCCGAAAAAGCTCAATAGGGAGAGCAGTCTATTATCCTGGGTCCGCTGGTTTGATCCTCGGACGAGGGAAAATTTCTCCCTGACAATAAGTCTCGGACTTACGGTCTTCTGGGTATTTGTATCTCAACGCTGATTTAGAAACTATTTTGCAATGGTAATCGGTCACTTGCGAAGAATTCTAGAAAAAGCCGATAAGGCGGACCGATCGCCGCGATCCGGAATAGACACTGGCACAGGTTTTCTGTGTGGTGACTTTGTTTTTAGCTGATAATTTTGTCTATTAAACATTTGATACAATTTAAAGTCAAAAAGAGTATTATTTCAATCGCGCACGTGCAATTTTCAAATAACATATCTAACAATTTTGGTAATAAGTTTCGTACAGATATTTTCAGAGGATACGTATATAAGGATAATAATGCCATATTATTGTCAATAATTTGAATTAGAATAGAATGTACGAATGGACTAACATACATTGTGCGTTTAATGTTTTGTTAGGACTGAGAACTGTTTTGTAGTATTTACTCGGTATTACACCGGTATGATATTTGATGTCGCAATGGTAACATTTAATGCCGCACAATTTACCCTTGCCGTTAAATGTCGCAACACTACCGTTTAATGTCGCAAAATGTATATTTATGACTAAATTAAGTTAGCTATTAATATAAATTACAATAAACATTGAGTGAATGTTTGATATAATTTTTTGGCATAAAGAAATGTTTCGATCCATCTTGTGACTCAAGATGATGTTTTTAAATGTGGATTTGTCTCAAATTTGCTCTCTTTCAAGAAATATTTTTGCACGACCTTAATAGAAGCCTGAAATTCTTTATAATGCTTATTTGTTCTTTGCATGAAAACCGAATTAAAAGGCTTTGGTTCTTATTTTATATTTAGGCCTTTGAAGCTCCTCCTAATTAAGATTTTATTTCTCAACTGCTAATGATAGTTTTATTTCTCCAAATAAGGGGTTTAAAACTTCTTATTAAGAGTTACAAATTTTTAATCAGGTTTATAACTCCTAATTATGAGGAAAAATCATAATAAGTTGTAACTTGGAGTAAGAAATTTTAATAAGGTAATCTACATCTTCTATTTAATTAGGAGAATCAAAGTCCTAATTATGCTTCTCTAGCTCTTAAGAAAAAGTGAAAAAGTTTTTATTCGGGGTTTGAAACTCTCATACAGCAGTAACAAAGTTCTAATAAGGCTTTTAAAACTCCTTATTGCGAGTTATATTTTTTTATTAATAACATTAAATTTTTGCAGCAGACGATTCTATACCAAAACAGTTTTGAAACCGTTGTTATGTTATTAGATAATTTCGACCATGCGACCACATACATGCATCGAGGACTTCTTGGAAGGAAAGGTGACCGTGCGACCTCAAACACGCATCACAAAATTCCCCTTCTCGTATGAGAGAAGGGGACAAAGAGTTGTCCGCCCCTTTACAAAGGGGCAGACTTTAAAAATATAGCCGCTTCCTTATTGATAAGGAGGGACTTTTTACTTCTGACATGTATTGTATTAGTTTATATACAACAGTAGTAATGCAAACCAAGTAAGTTAACAGTTGTCGCCTTTCTAAGTCCGCCATGAAATTTTAAAAAGATCATATTTAATTTCTTGGAAAATTTTGAGTTTACAGTTTTTTCAATTTTTCGTTCTATGTATATAATAGAATAATCTTATTTTTTGCAAAACACGAACGTTCAAATTTTTTATGCATTAATAATATTTCACACTTTATATTATCCTGAGGGCATTCTTGCCACAAAGAACGCATTTAATTTCTATATTTCACTTATCCTACTTGTAATAGAAAAACCATGTAATGTGATGGGCTGCGAGAAAAATAATTATATAATATAATTGAGCCGCACCATGACAAAACCAACGTAATGCGTTTGCGACCAGCTTGGATCCAGACCAGCCTGCGCCTCCGCGCAGTCTGATCAGGATCCATGCTGTTCGCTAACAAACCATATAACAAGTACAGAAACTGATAGCGAACAGCGTGGATCCTGATCAGACTGCGCGGATGCGCAGGCTGGTCTAGATCCATGCTGGTCGCAAACCAATTATGTTGGTTTTGTCATGGCGCGGCTCATATAAAGCATGAGGTGCTGACAATTGTAACACTGGTAATATAAGACTTTACATATTTGCAAGCCTTTCTGGGTTATCATTTGCAATAATAACAGATGTACAATAATAACGTTAATACCGATACAATCACAGGCAAACATATTTGTAGGTGAAAAGGCCAACATAAAACATAAAAAAATCTGACCGGAGATTAAATCTTAATTGAATTTTAAAATAAACTTCTCGGTGTGTTACATCCGTCTCCTCAAGCTGCTCGAAGCCACGACATCTGAGTTGTTGAAAACGAATACAAATGTGTTTTATCACGACAAAATTGGCATAAATTCGTATTGATAAATAATTTATAATACCGAGTAAGATGGCTTTAATTTCAACCAAATTTTTTGTACATTACAAATGTTTTCTTATCAGATAGTTATCTAGTCCGCAGATCACCTACAAAACATTAATATAGACATAATACCAGCTGTTTAACATGACTTTAGATATTGCGACATTTAACAGTAGTGTTGTGGCATTTAACGGTAAGGGAAACTGGTGCGACATTTAACGTCATCATTGCGACATTTAACCTCAAAATATTTTTAGACATTTAGCGGCGGTTGCGCCATTTAGCGGCAATAGTGTGACTTGTAGCGGGTAGTGTGACATTTAGCGTCGTTGCGACATAAAACGGCCCCACGCCGTGTACCAGTATTAAATGTAGTATATACGTGGGTCCCGAAGATGCATTCTTGTCAGCTATTAGCGAATGTCACTTGGACGTTTAAAAAATAAAACAACAACAACAACACCAACAAAACGTAACGGAGTACGAATCTAAATTATGTTACAAATAAAATGCATGATGGATATTCCAATATTTTCTAAAATACTCTAGAAGCCTCCGAACTGAATTCTTTATTCTTTAATGCTAGTATATTTTGATGTTTTTAATCTAACCTGCAAAAAACTATGATCTTGAATAATATGTCATTTTAAGTATACATCTTAAAAGGAAAATACCGTCATTTGAGTATGAATTTATCGGTGTGACATGCGGCGAACTCGTGTTCTACAGAATAAACAACATGTAAACGTGCCATACGATAACAAAACACATTTACATTCATTTTAAAAGGTCAACTATTTATTTAACATTTTAAAAGTACAAATGTATACTTGTATACCATTTGACATGCTCGAATATTGTTGCTTATAAAATTTCATCATTATATCTTTTTTACATTAAATATATTACATAAACGAATCTGCAAGAAAGTTTTTTTTCATTCACGTCCCACAACGTATATTTTCACATTTTTTGTTCTGACCTATAAACAAACAACACGCGTGACGTAAATGAACTAATTAGCTATTTTTTATGCAGGATTATTTAATAAGATGGATGTATAATTTTACTGTTCAGTCGTTTCATTGAAATCGTCCTTTTCTTGTTAAGCCATTCATTCCGACTGTAATATACATGTCATGACAAACATGTAAACAAACGACATGTGCACACATATAAACGGCTGTGACCTCATTTTTAAAAATCACCACAAGTCAGAAACAGTTTATATTGAGACTAATTTTTAATACCTTTTTAGAAAAATCATACTTCCTCATTATCATGATCTTATATAAAAAAACAACATTTCTCATTTTTCAATCCGAACTTTCGGCCCTTTCCGGCCAGTTTTCGGATAAGGACAAGTTAATATTGATAATGGCCGAGATATTCCGATTGTCCATTTTTATGAGACTGGTCTAAAGTAACATGATGTACCGTTCTTTATAATTTACATGTATTCCTTTTCATTTTATAACTTACACGCAGTTCTCCGTTTTAAAAACGTACATACATTGCTTTGTTAAAATATCATTTACTTAAATCATAACATATGGCAAACGCAACCATATACATATAGGCCAATGCCCCTTAGCAGTCATTTCAAAAACGAAATAATATATAGAATCTATTTAATTTAATTAAAGATTTTCAATTTAAGACTAATTTGATACACTTTATGATTGACAGATAACGCTAACGAAGAGCCCGAGGACATGAAAAGAGCACGTATCACCTACGTTTTTACGCCTACGGCACGTCAACGACATAATTAATGATTCATACATAGCGTGTGTTACTTTATAACGTGATCTTACATTATAAACACATTTACAAGATGGCTGTAGAGAAGTATAGTTGGATATTTACTATTTTATGTCTGAGTTTACTTATTGAAGTGTTTGGAATTGAACCTAGGACCTCGATAAACCCGAGTGTTGAATCTAGTTCAGTGAGCCAAACAAACATTAGAAGTTTAAATGCAAGTGAGTTAACGAACAGTTCGATTTCAAAGGAAGATGCCAAAGTAATGAGTGACACAACAAGTAAAGGCTCGCCGGAAATAATACTTCAATATAAGTTGCCTGAAAGATGGTCTGACTTTTGTGAGGTGGTCGAAGGTGAAACTTATGAATCGGAATTTACAAAAACCAATTTAACATCAATAAAATGTGTGATAGACGCTGAGCACTCGGATATATGGAAAATGACGGATCTTCGGAAGAATTTAGACCAGTATAATCACCTCAACATGACTTTTAGTGTGGATATAAAATGCCTATCGATGGCCAATATTTCTCTGTCTTATCCATTTAAAGTCAACAATCTTTACATCTTGAAAATTCAGGACTGTACGATATTTGATTTTCTAGCGGAGAGTAGTGACAGTATTCTTGAAACGACTCCTGACAGTCTGAGAGTAGTTCATATATGGAACACTTTGAACGTTGTCTTGCTGTCTAGAATGATAGAAATTACCAGCAATATCAAAAATGTCAAGAAGGAATATGACTGCGTTCATGACGAAACGATTGAAGACATATCGATGAGAAACATAAATTTCGATTTTATAATAGACGATGAATTGTTGTTACAGGAATTGCTCGAACGCGGTCAAGATTTTGTTCTAAATACTCGACGGATACCGCATATATGTGACTATCCGAGGTTAATATCCATGGATGAAAGTAACAGTGATAGCCGATCTCTTTATCATCTGGATTTACAGACAGACAACGCAATCTTTGATCATCTCCGTACATTCAATGTGTCAAATACACACATTAAAGTATTGAAGGATCAGTATTTACAGTGGTCAATGACATTTCCAAAACTACAAATGCTTGATCTCTCTCATAATAACATTTCAAAGTTATACCGGTTTGCTATACCGTTACATACCGATTTGGATGTCATCACAACTATAAACCTCACCTATAATCAAATTTCCACGATTACTGTAAATGACCTTGACCGGTTTAAAATGATGCCAATGGTATTCTTTGACCTAAGGCATAACCCGATAGACTGCAATTGTTCCGACACTTTGGAAGAGTTATTGAATTATATAAAACAAGGAAAGCATCTAAAAATTTCAAATCTGTCGGACTATAAATATATCGAAAATTTGCAATGTAACAATCCAGAAAACTTGAAAGGAACAACCCTGAAAGCATTGACATCTGAAATGATTTGTGAATCTAAAGTTCAAACAGAATACTTTTTGGTCCCAATTATTTGTTTAAGCACCGCAATTGTTATTTTAGCCTTATTATTGTTTATGGCTTTGCGATTCAGACATGAAATTACCATTATATTGTTTACGCGGTTTAATATTATTATACCTTGTCATACACGTGACAATTACGACTCCGAGAAGAAATATGACGCATTTGTTAGTTATAGCAGTAACGAAGAAGAATACGTGGAGAAACTTTTCGAAGATCTTGAAAAGCCAGCAGAAGACAAAGCGCGCCCGTCGTTTAAGTTCTGTATGCACCATCGTGACTTTGTTCCAGGAAAAACTATTTTTGATAATGTTACATTTTCCGTTGAGTCAAGCAGACACACAATTATCTTATTGTCAAACCATTTTATAAAAAGCGAGTACTGTTTATACGAGTTTCAAGAGGCTTTCAGACAAAGTATCATGGAAAAAAGGCGCCACCTGGTAATTATCATGATGGAAGATATCCCTGAAGAAAAATTACCACGTGATCTCAGACGCTGTGTAAAAACATTTACATATATCAGAAAAGATGACTTTCTTTTCACGGAAAGACTCATTTATGCTCTTTCTATAAAACACAAAGGTAAAACCATAATGAAAAGCATACAAAATGACTCAGATGATAAGTTTTCCACAGGCCACACATTTTCAACAAACTCGGAACCTACAAAAAGTAAAGAAAATAATAAAAGAATAAATACTATGGACAAAGTGAAAAATTTAGACACAGAACCAAAAATCTCAAAACCAGAAACAGACAACACTTGTAAAATAGATATGGGCAATTATGTTGAGTTTAAGGAACCTTCTAAAGATATATCAATAGAAAGACATAACAAATACAGGAAACACAGTGACAAATTAAAATTGTCGATTAAACACACAAACGACTCAAATCTTAGTCCAGTTGAAAGAAAACTAAATAACAAAGACCTTGACTATGACAGAAGTCTGTCACTTATTTCTCAGGATACTGGATACGGAAGTGACTTAGGATCTATTTGTGAAAGACTTTCACCGGAAGTGACTATCGGCATGGATGCGTTCCCAGAGGAAGTTGTTTGCTAAAAACTTAACTGGTTCTTTGACGTATGACTTGATTAGCATGTAAATACATGTAAAAGGATTCAACTGAACCATTAAACAAAATGTCAAATCTCATTTACAATTCCTAACAATTTAAAATGCCGTAAGCAAATATCTCAAGCTCAAGTAAACAACTGTGCTATACATATTTATGACCATCTTTATCATTCTTTAATGAACAATACTGACTAAATAGGTAGGGTTTATTTCATGTCAAATTCATTGTTTCTACAACAAAGCTAATGTTATGTGCGACTGTAAACCATTTCTTACAATGCATGTTTATATTTATTTGAGGTGGCAGCAATTGTCATATTTTTATAGTTTGTGTAAGTCAATAGAACAATCTTAAAGAATCATTTTAAACAATAAATGATAAAGTTTTATACAGAAAAATAAGCAAACAACATTAACCTTTAGTCTGCGGCGGCAGCCGATTCTATCCATGCAATCAGTGCAAACCAAGTTTAGCCAGCATATCCGTGTAGTCTAATCATTGTTTGCTCTGTTCGCTATTTAGGCAGTACTCGTATTCTAAATTTTTCCCTAAAATAGTAAATGATTATTAACAGATTTAAAGATGGAAAAGTTCATTTAAGATTGATTTTTATGTATATATATCTTGTCGATTCGGGCTTTGTTAATGATTTAGATTTGTAATTGTAATTGTATGGCATATTTGCAAGAATAAAATTATGTTCAATTTTCACTGCACTATGAGGTGCAAAATAATACAACCATTTTTGAAAAAGAAAATCTGTGCTGTCTATGAATGATTAAGTGTTGTCATTTTTTTAAATAGATGTAAACTTTAAACGTGAGTAATATTTGATAAATAATACAAAGATGACAATGGGAATTCAAAATCATTTGTATATAAAAATGTATAAAATAAATAAAATCATGCTCAAGGAGAGACTTGTTTATCATCAAATTATCACTCAGTACCCAATATGACAACTTAAGATAGATCTCAGCTGCTATTTAATGTCTTGAATAATTCGAGAAGTAAAAATTTCCAGACTAAATGTAATCGGTGGAGGAAAAGGTTACAAAACTGGATGATAAACTCAATAAGTTATGGTCTGATTTAGATAAAAGAGTGGCTAAAAGTGAGGATAAATTAAGTTCCGTGGAGGACATGGTGGAATTACATGATTTTAATTTGGATAAAACAAAAGAGCAGGTATCAATTTTACAGTCTGAAAATAAGAAATTAAAAGAGACTATTATTGATATCCAAGCTAAGTCTATGATGTGTAATTTGATCATTGGTGGGATCAAAGAATCAAAGGATGAAACAGCCGAACAGACACTTGGAAATGTCAAAAAATACTTTCAGGACGATTTGAAGATCCCCGAGGAAAGTTTGGCAACACTAGAAATAGAGAGTGCTAGACGAATTGGCGTTCGAAGACAAAGTAAGCCAAAAAATGTATTAGTTACTTTCAACAACCTTAAGACAAAAAACTACGTAAAATCATTCAAAGATAATGTCAATCCTAGAGAATCTGGACTATTCATGCATGATCAATATCCGCCGGAAGTTGTTTCACAAAGGAAATTACTTGTTCCAATTATGAAAAGGCTCGAGAGGCAAAAAAGGAAGCATATATCAAATATAACAAACTTATCGTGGATGGTAAAGTGTATACAGATGGTCCGTATGGGACGGTACCGTAGGAATTACAAGAAGGTGTAGTTTCGATTGCCGTATGGAATTGTAATGGCTTATCTAAAGAGAAACAAGAGGACGAAGACTTCTGTAATATAGTATCTAAATATGATATTATTTTTTCTTCTAGAATCATGGACATCTAAAGATAGTAATATAAAATTGAAAGGATATGCATCGCACAATTTCTATCGCAAATTTCAACACAGAAATGCACGTCGAAGTAGTGGTGGTATTATGTTGTTTTACAGAGACTATATAGCGAAAGGAATTTCAATTATTAGAAATCACTTTGACACAATCATATGGATAAAGCTGGATAAATCATTCTTTATGTTAGATAAAGACATATATCTATGTGCCACTTATATATGGGGACAAGATTCGCCTGCTTATAATGTATGTAATCAAAATTTATTTGACATTTTAGAAAATGATATAAGCTTTTTTAGTCAACGAGGAACGGTATTGGTTTCTGGAGATATGAATAGCCGAATTGGACTTAAACCGGATTTTATCGAATATGACAGAATGAACTCAATTTTGGACGGAGATGACTACGTACCAGACATCCCGCTTGATCGCACGTCTATGGATACACAGTTTAATTCTTACGGTTTACAGTTATTAGACATGTGCAAAGCGACCGGTTTAAGAATATGTAACGGTCAATTAGAATCGACAGAACCGTATACATATTGTGGAAACAATGGGAGTACTGTTATAAATTACCTTCTTGCTAAACAGTGCAATTTTAAATACATTAAAGCGTTTAATATTTCTGACTTTAATATATTTTCAGACCATGCAATTATAGAATTTACTATTTCAACCAATACTATAACACAAGATAGTAGCAATTGAAAATCTTTACAGTCAACGAAATGGTCTGGAGATAAAAGAGATACTTTTAGAAGAAGATTGATTGGCAGATTGCCTGAATTAAACAATTTAATAAGCTATTCAGAGGAGGAAATATTTGATAACATCAAAGTAAATGAAATGGTTGACAGATTCGCACAAATAATAAACGAAGAGGCAAAGCCATTGTTTCACAAGGAATTAACCATGCGAAAACAAAATATACAATTTGATACTACAAAAGTGATGAAAAATCAGATTGGTTTGATGACTCGTGCAGAGAAAGAAAGTTAGAGTATTTGGAAGCATTACGATTATTTAATGAAGTGAAGACAAATGAAAATAGACACCAGTTAATGTTAAAAAAGAGACAATATAAATCTTTGATAAAAGTAAAGCGCAATAGGAGTAAACTTATAAAGATGCGAGAAATTGAAGCACTTAAAAGTAAAAAGCCGTGCGATTTCTGGAAATATTTTTCAAAGAAAAAAAACACAACTGAACGAAAACATATCTGTGCAAGAATTCTATGACTATTTTAGGAATTTATCAGATAGCATTAACACTACTACTGATCCAGAAAGCGAGAATTACTGCAATAACCAATATTGTTATGATGACCCTATTTTTCGCGAATTAGATTCTGTAATTACAATTGATGAAGTGCGACATGCAATTAGTTGTTTGAAACGAGGCAAGGCAGGTGGGAGTGATGACCTCATAAATGAATATTTTATTGAAACATGTGACATCATATGCGGGCATCTACGGGATATTTTCAATGTTATACTATCGACTGGACATTTTTCCAAATGCATGGATGGAAGGAATCATTATACCAGTGTTTAAAAAAGGAGATGCTAGTATTGTCGATAATTATAGGTGAATAACACTAGTTAGTTCTATGTCGAAAATATTCACATCAATATTAAATAAGAGAATGTCAGACTGGAGTGATAGACATAACATAATATCAGATTCACAATTTGGATTTAAGAAAGGATTATCAACCACTGATGCGATATTTTGCCTACACAGTATAGTTAATCACATGTTAAATAATGGTACACGCCTCTACACTACCTTTATAGATATGCAAAAATGTTTTGATAGTGTATACCGGAACGCATTGTGGTTCAAAATGTCAAAACTGGGAATAAACGGTAAATTGCTCAGGGTCATAAGATCAATGTATGAGCAAGTGAAATGTAGAGTACGTCATGGAAACGAATTCTCGGACTTCATGGAAATAGCAGTGGGCCTAAAACAGGGAGAGATATGTTCACCGTTACTGTGGTCTATGTTTATTGAAGATCTAGAGTTGTACATTGGTTCGAGACCAGAAAGTGGCTTAAAATTTGATGATTTGACTCTGGTGCTGTTTTTATACGCAGACGATATGGTACTATTTTCGGACACTGTAGAAGGATTACAACAAAGTTTAGATGACTTGCTCACATACTGTAGGCGATGGGGATTAACCGTTAACATTGAAAAAACCAAAGTTATGGTTTTTTAGAAAGCGTGGACCGTTGCGTGAAAATGAAAAATGGACTTACAATGACACAAATTTAGCTATTGTTAACAATTTCAACTATTTAGGGTGTGGTATTTGACTCAAATGGCAATTTTAACTATAATACACAGATGCTCGTCGGCAAAGCGCTTAAAGCTATGAACTGTTTAATGAATAATACTAAGGACTTTGATTTTACCCCAAAGACAATGTTGAGTTTATTTGATTCATTTGTTTCCTCAATTTTAAGTAACTCTTCTAAAGTTCGGGAATTAACTTAAAAAAAGACATTGAAAGGATAAATTTAGTAAAAGAAGTCTAAATGTAAAATTATCGTCCAGTAGTGTAGCTATAAATGACGAATTAGGACGATATTCATTGTATGTAAACAGATGTGTTAAAATTAAGATCAAATATACTAATAATTGTATAATAAGTAAAATATATTAACTGTTATTAGAGGATTTGTGTAAGAATAAGAATAACTTCAAAAGTTTCAAAAGTAAAGAAGTTATTATATGAACATGGTTTTGGATACGTGTTTGAAACACCGTTAACAGTAAATGTGAACCACTTTATAACTCTGTTCAGACAAAGACTGATTGATACATTCACACAGAATTGGAGTAGCGATTTAGAGAGCAATCAAGTATTACATTTATATAAACATTTAAAGCACCATATTGAATATGCTGAGTATTTGAGTATCTTAAGTAGAAAAAATTATAGATCTGTTATTACCAAGTTTAGGATATCTGCACATTGCCTTAGGATTGAAACCGGACGATATGGTCAAAATAGAATTGAAAGAGGTGAAAGAACATGCAATGTATGTCAATCCAGAGACATTGAGGATGAATTCCATATGATTTGTGTGTGTCCCTGCTACAGACTTATAAGAAAACGTTACATTGATAAATATTATTATGAAAGACCATCTATGTTTAAACTTACCCAGTTGTTGTCAACCAGAAATGAAAAAATGTTGAATAATTTAGTTTGTTTCCTAAATTGTGCATTAAGAATTAGGCATAATCTTTTACAATAAATAATTAATAAATATATAATAAATAAATAAATGCTCAATTTATTGTCATGTACGTTAAGAATTTCATGTTAAATGATACTGATACATATTCTATACCTTCTTTTGTCATTTGTACCACAGATACTGTCATTTTCAATATTGTGTTATATCATTATATTGTTTGACTTTGACATAATAATGTATAATTATGTTATGGATGAGGAGCGAAATGCTCAAATCTAAAATAAAATTCATGTTCTGTTCTGTTCTGTTCTGTTCTGTAAATAATGGGATTGCTTAACATTATTTTGTTGTACTTAACATGTTTATTTTATCTTTCTTAATCCTAAAAAGAAAACAACGAAGAAATGTTTGAATGTATTTTGACAACGTAACATCATAATCGGTCACCTCAAAACCTAGGAAAACCAATTGTTTATTCATTATCGTTTGATCCTTTCAAAATTATAGAGACAACCACATAGATAGACATTTTAATATGATCTTGCTCCTTCGTTTGCGTTTGATGGTGCAATCAAGTCTTTAATTGTACTTGTAAAGAAGCTTACATTTATTTAAACCCGCAAACTGCACATTTTAAAACTACATGTAGTTAAATACAAAGAATATATCTGACATAAACACAAATACAATTCATATTGCAAGTACATTTATCGTCTACAATTTAAATTTAATCAATTTGCTGGATTACTGTAAAAGGTTTGAGTTATTTGAACTTATCTCGAATCTAACCAGTGATGTTTTCATATTGTCACCTTAGTGCAGTAACCGGTTAACTCCTTTATA